GGAGAGAGAGAGAGAGAGAGAGAGAGAGAGAGAGAGAGAGAGAGAGAGAGAGAGAGAGAGAGAGAGAGCAAGGGTACACTAGAGACTAAAATCTGCAAAAGCTCACCAACTCTCTGCCATTTAGCAACCCAGCTGTCTTCTGGACTCATCATAGCTATCAAACTGAAAAGGTAAAGAAATATTATCTGTGAAACTCACCACAACTATCAAAGAACTGAAAAAGCAAGCACAACATGTACAGCACTAAATCTGGTATTGAAATGAAGCAGTTCAATGTACAAAGAAAGTTGCTGGCACAACAAATAAATAAGCTTTAAGTTATACACAACTAGTCAAAGAGTCATTGAGGTAATGAAGTAGGCCTACATCGTGTATGTAGCAAAACACACTGACCTGGGAAACCAAGTTTCGGTAAAATGGCAAAGAAAATACATGTACATGTATCTTTGCTGTTTTATCTGTCTTATAACTGTACGGAGCTTCCACAAAACGACAGAGCTGCAAAAGCTCAATTGGGCACCTAAACCAAATGTCTCCTTAGTATTTGATGTTAATTGTCATTAAAAAAACAAATAAATAAAGGCTCCTTCCCAATATAATGGGTTAAACTGCACATTTTGTACAAAAATTTGCCACAGCTTTGATTTTTGGATCTTTATCTGTTTTAACATAAGAGACTAAAAACTGTATTGTAGCACTGCCTTGAACTTGATCCATACGCATGAACTACTTATATTCATTTTGAGGCTTAAGTTAGGAAAAAAAAGCATGGCCACAATAACATAAATTACGTAATAACATCATCACATTTTATATATGACATCATGCAGTTGCGAGTGGCGTAAAACACTTAGATCTACAAACAAACTCCCCCCCCCAAAAAAAAAAAACCCCAAACAAACTCAACAACAAAAGTCAAAAGCGGGAAGATAACAGTGAAAGTCGATGACGTCTGACATAAAAGCAAAGATTAATTTGTCTTTTTTTTCTGCATAAAGTATAAAGATGAATATTATAACAAAATGACATACCCATCAAAGTTTGCACTTGTGCATTCATAGACAGCATCGCTGTTGTTCTTCATGTGAAGATACTCATCACAGTTTTCGCATCCATCAAACTCAAACTGCTCAAATGTCTGAGAATAGAAAACAGAATAGTCATAGTATGATTTATAATATAGCCTAAAGAGTATTAAAATCAACCCAAACGTATCAGGGAAAAATTCTTCCTTCTGAAAATACTTTGGCCATCAAAGGTACAAAAGATGACTGATCCAAACCAGGTCAAAGGACCTGTATAATTTACGAGATCCCATTTACCAAACACAGGGGAGAAAATGAGAAATAAATTAAATTTTATAATTGACGCAAGCGCACAGGAGAGCAAGACTTTAACCTTGCAGTATACACTTACTTCTAGGCACTTAACGGATGCCTCAGTGTACAATGGCGTACATCAGCAAGAGAGGGGGAGGGGGTTTGCAAAGCTCAAGGGATTCTCAGAACATTGTCAGAAAAGGGAGGCCAGACATTCTTTCCAGACAGAAAAATGGAGCTTGTGGGTCAATCATAATGTCTGATAATATTATATATTATGTATATATATTACAAGTACCATAGGAAACAAGTTCACGTAGGGCCTACAAGGAAATGTGTCACGACATGGTGGAATCAGGCTCTTGTCAATTATTAGGCATGTAGAGTTATTGTATATCTTAAAACTTGTTCATTTGCCTTGCTTTGGATGAAAAAACGTTTCCATTTATCTTGAATACAAGTCCAGATATTTGTGAATGAAGGAGGTGGGGGTCACCTGGTTTCAGAGGTAAAATTAGTGAGAAAATGGCAGCCAAAGATAAGTTAGGCTTGAGAGTCCGTGGAAACTGAAAATTTACATTTTTTGAGCCTTCAATCAACATTTTTCTGTAAAATCCCCCAAGAAATATGTTCTATAATGGGCATGAAAGATGCTGAGCCAAAAATAAAAAAATTAGAAAAAAAATTCACAAACACGTGGAAAAATGCCTGTTTCTTCACTTTGATTATTTTGACAAGCGCCTGATTTCACAACACTGCCTCACAAATTAATAAACACTAGCCCCCTAATGTCATATGTACAGAATACATGGCAGCCCGTACAATAACAATTTCAGAAATATATGAATTTATCTGGAAAATTTGCATCTTAGTCTCTTAGTCTTAGAGAGGTGTATGCTGACCGACTGTGTTTAACGCATTCGCTACGCCGAGGCGTGGGGGGCAGCGCGGCTAAAGTGCCGTCAGTACGCTAAGCCGCCCCCGGCGGCACAAGAACCCATCTTCAATTTTAGCTTAGATTCTATTCCAATTCACATTTCCATGTTAAAATAAAGGTCATAATATAATGTTGACTTCCGGGTCAAGCATTTCTACTGAAAACCGGAAGTTTAGATTTAGTTTTGAAACGCGATTTCGAAGTTTATTCGACTTTGTTTTATCGCGATGCCAAAATTATAGCCCGGACACCAGTTTTTGTAATTTTAAACAACAAAATCTATCATTATTTTGCCCACTAAAGAAGTGAAGGACTCTTTTTTATAATGTTGATACGATTGGACTCATATTGCCAAAATGCACTGTTATTGAGAAATCAATATTTTTGAGTGCTAGATCTAGGTCTAGATCTAAATAGTCAAAATATTTTTTTCTCCCCAAAATCACTACTTTTTGATGAAATTACATAAAAATTGCCACTCAAGACATGTATAGGTTTATTCCAAATGCAATTCTGAATAATTCCATATAAGATACGAGCGGGTTTTTTTCTGTTTGTGGTCGTTTTTCAAGATTATAATTTTTTTTTTTTTTCAATATCGGATGTTATGTTCTAAATGTACAAATATTATGGAATGTAGGTAAATAACTGCAAACTTTTCAATATTTTCCAGTTCTATATTCATTTATGGTTATTTTGATGTATCATTTGACTAGGTGCCAACATATTTTTTTAGTTTCACCAAAGATTATAAATTTTTTATTTTCAAATTTTATCCGCATCCAATCAAAACTGTGTAGCATAATCGTCTCTTACAGGAACCAAAGTTGAAAAATACATAAATAAACATTACAGATGTATTCTACAAACCATACTGAAAATATTGGTATATAATACGTTGATATTTATTTGAATTTGTGGCCCCAAAGACCTTTTAACTGCCTACTAGTCATCATCTCGTTCGCTCTCCCGAAAAAAAATTCGTCCACAAGCCGAAAATAATAGGTAGCGAATGAGTTAATACTATTATTTTATCTTTTGTGACATAACATGTTCTCATGTAGTTTGACACTGATGAATCAGTTCTAGCACATAATTACAAACACTATAGTTTACAGACTACACCACACTCTAACATACGGCCCTGTATCTTTCCACTTTCCAATGATTTAGATTCAGTTTTGGAAAATTCATCAGGTTGTATCATAAAACAATACAAAACCAGCCTGTTGGGACGGTAAAAACAAGACTGACACTGTAGAAAGTGTCCGATTGGGTGTTCTAACCAACCGTCCGGAAATATTCTATTATCCCATGCAAAATCATGTTGAAATATTAATATTGCTTGTCTTAGAAATGTCCCATGCAATTGCATAATATTATTATTAGCCTCCAACAAGTATGCCTATGTTCCACCTATTTTATCTCTATTATCTCAAAATATTATTTTTGACCTTAGAAAGGCCCCAATGCAATTGCATATTAGCCTGCAACAAGTAGGCCTATGTCCCATCTATTATGATCTCTAATCTAGGCCTTGTATCTAGATCTAGGAGTAGATCTTTTAATCTATGAAACCTTTTTACTTTTTAGGTTTGCTGTCAGAATTAAAGAAAGGTAAGCCAATGCGACTAAACGTAGAACGACGCAAACTATTTTTAAGCAAGGCGGACATCTTGTGAGACATCAGACAGGGATGCCCTCCGATCACGTGACTACGTCATAGCCGACCACCTGTCACCAAAGATCAGAGAATCTTTGATGGCACGATGCTTTGGTGCGATGTTTTTCCAGGAATACCGGCAATGAGATATATGATGCAGTGCTCTGATGGTGCTGCTGCTTATCTCTTTTGTGCATTATTTATATCGCACATGGGGGGGGGGTAAATCTTCCGACGTCTTTACGGAAATTTCAGCGCGCTTTTATTTGCATTTACCGTGTTTCAATTTCAAGCATCACTACCGGAATTCCGAAATTATGTATATTAACATACCAGAAAGCTTGTTGTAACCAATCAGTAGAGCAAGGCTGACGGGTAATCCTTACCTTCTGCGGTCCCTACGAGTTTGTTTACATTCGGCCAAGATGTCTCTTCGTTGACAACGAGATTGTTTGAGATTTAAGAGGAGCTCATTGCCAGGTAAGTGTTGAGACGAAATGTATCTAGTTCTGATTGTTTGAGATTTTTGAAGGGCTTATAGATCTATATTATATGTTAACTAGGTCTAATCTGACGTTTTTGTTAAGATTGGTAAGATGAGCGTTGTGTAGAGTTGTTTTGGCAATTTAAAAAAGTGATATAGTTTGGTGTGCTTATTTGTTCAGTTGTATCTTAGAACAGTGGAATCCTGTTATAACGAGAGGGACGGGACCGGTGCCAAATGTCCGTTATAACAGGATTCTTGTAGTAATAAATTCAAGAGAAATAGTAAAGTAGGCCTAGTCTATGAGTCTAGTTTTCGGTTTATTTCTTTTTGTAATCTTCCCTGATGATGATTTGGTTCAACATGACCTTTAAGTCTCATTTGATCAAAAGTTGAATCAGGTTTCCTTCTCTCTAGCGCTAGCAATGTTGACAGTTCGGCATCGGCGACCAGAAAGAAAGTTCTCTAGGCTAACTGAGGGACTGGCCCGCTGTGCTGTCCCCCACCCCACCACACCCTGTGGTACGTTCCGTCTGCTTTTGTGCACAATGGGAACATACTACACCCCGCCCACGTCACACATTCGCTCCGTCCATCACAGTACAGCACTATGACCTCTCCATATCGTATCGGAGAAGTGAGAGGTTTGGTAGGCCTAGATAATCTAGACGAGGCTGGCCTATCCCACGATGCGATCTGCTTGTCTGTGTATGCCACACTCTCCCCACTCATTCAATCCGGCCTTCATTGTTGGCACTCCCATTCTTCGTTTCGCAAGATAACCAACAAGTTTCTCAACTGGTGAGGTTTCACATGAATAAATGGCCTTTGCGCTGTGCACAGCAACAGCAATATTCCCCTGACCTAATAAAAATGGCCACCTCTGCCTCTATTCTCACCCGGGGTGAGAATAGTGCAGGTGAGTCTTTTGGCTATTCTCACCTGGTGCACGTTCACCGTTATAGCCTAGATCTAGGCCAACAAATTTTGCGTTCACCCTAAACCACAGAATTCTACACTGTGATAACAGAAAAATTGTAGAATTCTGTGCCGTGAACAAACGTTCCATTACAACTGTAGCCTACTAAAAGCGTACAATTTTGTCTGTGGGTAGTGGAAAGAGAGAGAGAGAGAAAGAGAGAGAGAGAGGAGTAGCCCGAGAACTTCCGGGCAAAACAAAATGGCGACCCGCGTAGTTCGGCTCGATTCGAAAAGTTAAATAGCTGTAGCATATTTGTAGACAACCAAATTAATTTACTTTTGTGTTGTAACATCATTTTTTAACTTTGTTTTGGTCAATTTGATCGTCCACACCGATAGGCAGTATTCAGAAAGAGATAGAGAGAGAGAGAGAGAAGAGGGGAGGAGTAGATCTTGCGAGAACTTCCGGGCGGGTGAGAATAGCCACTTCCAATAAAAATAGGAAGGGGGGTTTGAATTTTACCATAATTTAATGTTGAAAGTGGCTATTCTCACCCGCCCGGAAGTTCTCGCAAGATCAACTCCTCCCCTCTTCTTTCTCTCTCTGTCTCTTTCTGAATACTGTCTATCGGTGTGGACGATCAAATTGACCAAAACAAAGTTAAAAAATGATGTTAAAACACAAAAGTAAATTAATTTGGTTGTCTACAAATACAAAGATGCTACGGCTATTTAACTTTTCGAATCGATCGAACTACGCGGGTTGCCATTTTGTTTTGCCCGGAAATTCTCGCGCTACTCCTCTCTCTCTTTCTCTCCACTGCCCACAGACAAAATTGTACGCTTTTAGTAGGCTACAGTTGTAATGGAACGTTTGTTCACGGCACAGAATTCTACAATTTTTCCTCACAGTGTAGAATTCTGTGGTTTAGGGTGAACGCAAAATTTGGTGAACGCGCACCGGGTGAGAATAGCCACAAGACTCGCCTGCACTATTCTCACTCCGGGCCGGGTGAGAATAGAGGTGGCCTTTAATGTTTTAAGGTTTGATATCTTAGCTCACCGCGAATCAAACGTATAGATCTAGATCTAGATGTAGGTCAAATAAGGGGGGTGGGAACTACCGAAAAGGCACCGGCATGTCTGACCCTGTCATGTTTGCCTACTCCCAGAAACAAAGTTTTCGTTTGGTGAAACTTCTTCCGAGAGACTTTTTAGTTTTGTTCCTCTAGGCTAAATCTGATGTTGGAAAAGCATTAATAATGTTTTAAAAAATAAATTAAAATACCTTTACAAGTGAACACAACAAACAAGCACGCAAATTCCGGAGGTCTTTTGGTACAGTTTCCAGTGACATGATGATTATAATGGTGATGGTAGAGCCTCTATGACGTCTATGTCCAGAGACTTCGCTTGTTGGCTAGGCTGAGCTTGACTTTGACTGTCTGGAACAGAATACCGAAGTGACACACAGATTCACAGCCTATTCTACTAAAATCAAGCTCTAAAATATACAGAGGATTTGAATTATACTGTCGTTACGGTACTTTCTGCTTTACAGGCAACCTTAGGCCTTAGGCCTAGACTAGACCAGATCAAGATCTCGCTTTGTTATTTTCGGATTTCGTTTCGTTTTCCTCGAGTCGACTTCCTTTGATTTGAAATCAATCCACATACGAAAAATCACCTGCAAGAATCTAGCCTAGGCCTATGCTGTGGGTTTTTTTATACTGGGCCTACTGAGAGTTTCCTGAACAAAATAGTACTTTACAGCACTTTTTGTTTAGAATGTAGTTTTATAAAAGAATCAAAATTGAATGTATGAGAGTGGAATTTTGTCATGAAAGATGAAAGATAGCATTGAGAGTACCGAAGTCATAGCCTTGGCTGGACGTGAGGGATTTTAACTAGATTTCTAGATCTATTAGCTCCCCTGTTGGCAATTTTACTAGTTTTAATTGATTTCGCTAAGAGATAATTCAATCTTTTACTGGGATCTAAATGTTTCAGAATGTGATATATTCGGTTAGTTACATCTCACCCCTTTATGGTTAGTAAAATATAACATACCTGCAATGTTTGGGTCAGGTCCTTGTTAAAAGTAAGTCTTCAGAGTCATGAAATTCTTGAACTCTGACGCAACAATTTCCGTGTTCTGCTGCCCTTTGCCTGGAGTAGTGTCTGCTAGACTGAAGACTGCTCCCCGAACCAACAACAACAACACCCTGCAAGAATCAGAAAATGCGAACTCCGGTAGAATTACTTTTTTAAAATGCTCCATGGTCAAAAAGTGTCAAGCCAGACCTTAATGACATGTCTAGTCTCTATTGGTTGTTGTTTTTTGGGTGTTTTTTAAAAATGTATAAACTTTTGTATTTGTATGAAAATAGGATTCCCACAACTACAACACAAACTCCATGACTGATAAAATTTGCAGAGGAGTGTAGATCTAGACTTTTAACTTAGACCTCTATTTCTAGATCAAGATCTAGGCCTAGATTAATTGACTGGAACTAGGAGTCAACAAAAGTTCAAAAGGCGTAATCTGCTGTTGTCTGTGTTGTGTATACTGGACATTCAATTTCAATGGAAGATTGAATAAACAACACATGAACTTAGCTGCAGCAAGCACCTAGATCTAGATTTGGCCCAAAGTCGTCATAGATAAAGTATTTGCGTCATCTACTTTTGTTAGTCTTCCGCGGCTTCCCTCGCCAGTTGGCGTGATGGGCCGTGTGGCTAGGTTTCATTGCCGACTGTGTGTGCGCGTGTGTGTGTTTGTGGATATGTACAACATTAAGGAGAAGGTAAATTTATGGAATGAGAATTGCTGAGATTGTTTTTAAAAGATAACATAAAGTATTTCCAAAAAAAACCCTCGAACACGCTGAGATCTATTCAACAGTTACTGGCAAGGGAAACCCATGAATCTTGGGAGAAACCCCGGAAGATGACAAAAATAGTAGGCGGAAATACGTCAACTATATTTGGGCAAATCGAGAGGTGTGCTAGGTGCTCGCTGCAGCTTCATGTGTAAACAACAGTCTTCTTTGTAAGAGAAATGTAAAGAATAAGCAAATCACGGTAACTCTGTGGTTATAATGGAAACAAATCAAGCAGGCTTTTTTTACGGGGTTTTTTTTTTGTGAGACTTGTTATATAGTGGAACTCAGATTCTAGGAGGTGGCCGGGCCTGACCGAAAATCTCGTTGAATCCGAGTGTTAGTTATGGCAAACATGAGGCTTTGTGTTGATAATTACAGGCACTGAGCAAGAAATGTGTAAAGAAAAGTAACAAGTAGACGCTAGCGCCTGAAATACCTGCATATTATGAGCTGTTAAAAAAAAAAGAACGATTCGTTCTAATGCTCGCCTGTGTCATCTCGATTGTTTGCAAAAAAGTTGTGTTGCTGTGTAGAGCCTAGCATACACGGCAACTTTTGATTCCATAGACCAGCGCACAATTAATTATGTAGATCTTCGACAAGACCAGCTTTTATCATTGTAATAATGTTGATCAGTTGCCGAGGGGAAATAAAGACTGTGACGCGTTTGTATCTGTGATGCAGGTCGATGCGACCCGAACACATGCCAGAGTAGATGTGCACGTGCCAACAGCGCATGTGTTGGTATGAAAAAAGGCAAAAATTGGTCGCATGCAATCGGCTAAGTGAATAATAGTTCACGATTCAGGTGCAATGGGTGGTTTCAGGGAATAGAAAAAGTTCGTTCTGGGAGAAAAATGAGCTAAGCCACGTCTGCAGGGGGCTGTTCACCCTGGAAGCGATCTCATTGAATCCAAGCTCGCTGGTTTAAGTGCTCATTGAATGCGGGTTTATTTTATTGATTTTAAAGAAGAAGAAAAAACGGGGAATCTATCTCCTCTTGTTGAATCCGAGTTCCCGTTGAATATTAGGCTATATATAAATATATATATATAAGTAGTCGTGTTGGAATTCCTGAAAGGTGAAGACTTCCGTAACGAGCGACCACTATGAGATGTAGTAGAATAGAGGGTAGGGTTTGGTCTCTTTTTTATTGTGTTTGTTAGGGTGGTCACTGGTTACGGAACCCTTAAGAGTACAACAAGAGTTGCTCGAAAGTGTTTTCCTCATTATTCAGACACAGTCTAGATAAACTCGAACTTCAAATTCTATAGAACTTTAAGAATTAATAGAGGTAGGTATGTCTAATAATTTGCAAGAAAGGTTGATATTGTATTGGGTTGAATAGGCATTGCTACTGTTACCTATTTCTTTAAATGGAGATTATGCATTCTCGTGCTTTATTTGCATTATAACTCTCTGTCACTTGTCCTCTTTTTCAGATCTTGCTGAAGGAAGAATGAGAGAGTTGTCATCACTGGCTGAAAACACTGACTTTCAATAAGAGCCTGAATCTCCTTCTAGCCTGTCACAATGGGGGGAGGCTTCTGTGGTTCTGAGTCAAATGCTATGAGTGTCAAGGAAGGCGTCATTCAAAATGAGTGTTTCGTCGATGTCTTGAACATTATCCCACATGCTCTCCTTGCTCTTGTGTGCATCTTTATTCTCACCGTTTGGAACCACTCTGTCATTGGGAAGCTCAAAGTGAAGACCTGGGTCCACTTCCAGTGGCACAATGCTCGCTGGATTTTCACCCTTGCCCTCATCACAACAATTATTGTAGAGATTGCAGAGGGTTTTATCAGTGACCTCAACGACACAGACTCCACAAACTATCATGCTTTTGTCCCAGCGTGTGTCTCATTTTTAGGTGCTTTACTCAGCATCATATTCTACCACAATGTGGAGCAGTGGAATTCACCTAAGTTCCTGTTGGTTTTACTCATCTACTGGCCAATGGCTGTTGTGCTGAAAGGCTTGAAGGCTTTGTCGATTTATCGAAATGACTTGACAGTAAATCACCTCAAGGTGTGGCTGGCCCTCATTGACATTTTATTTTATTCGCTGTTGTTGGTGATTGAATTAAATGTTTTACGAATCCAGGTGAGTCACTGTAAATGTTCTATTAATATTTTTTAAAAAATATTATAAAAATGGCTTGACAGAAATTAAATGGTGCGTATAATTTTTTTGTAAAACTTAAACACTTCTCGCTGAAAATTTGTGTGATTTTTATAATCTTCAGGTATTGCATTAAAAAAACAGTTAAACGTGCTATAATAGACACTTTCCATAATTTCCTCTCTTGGATTTTAAATAGTAAAATGACATTGTGTAAGACAGCCATCTGTCTAAGATGGCCACTTTTCTCATCGACAATGGGTTTCTGTCTTCGATAGCTGCTCCGACTATACTTATGTTTTAATTTTATGGTCTTACTTTTACTTACTTTACTAACTTTATCCGTCCTCTTGTACATCTTTACTCATAAATTATATTATAAAAAAGTCAAATATTACTGTCAACAATTTCCTGTTTTGTTTTAAGTTTTAAAATAGAAACAAGTGTGTTTACTTAGGTTGAGAAGTTCTAAAACAATTGAATTCAGAACCATTTGCAAATGGTATTGACTCTTTGTGTTGCATTGAGGTGCATTATAATCTTGAAATTAGTTGAGCTCTTCGTTGCCTCAAATTGTCTGCAATCATTTGCTCTCTGAAATTTTCGTTTTCCTTTGATTTTGAGATAATGGACCCATCTTTACTTGTCCGGTCTTTAAGGATTCTTCGCTACTTATCCCTTAGAAGTCTATTAATTCTTTTTATGCACTTCAAAAATAATTATTTGATCACTATTTATTCATGAAAATATTAATTTTATCTTCTACAGCGATACTCGTTCTTTAAAAAGCCGCGAAGAATGAGACCACCGTCAGACTTGGAAAACACAAAGTACCTTCAGTCATATGTGAACTTCATGTCTCAGGCTGTGTACTGGTGGATCACAGATCTGCTCATTAAGGGGTTCAAAAATCCATTAACCCTGAAAGATTTGGGCAAACTACCTCAGGTGAGTACATGTGTGGGAGAGATTTGGCATTGAACTTCTTCTTTCGGAATGATTTTAACTCTTTGATGTCGGGTCTCTATGTGGTTTTCTTTGTCTTGATTCTTAGCTTTTAGTTGATTACACTGTGTCAGACTGCACTACAGACTATCATGTCATCTGTAAACTTTTCTTGGAGAAAGAGTAGAGAATGAAGTTGCTAGCAGTAAATGAGACTTTCATTGACCTTTATTCTGACCGCATAGATTATACATTTCATTATATTGGAGTGTGATTCGAAGACAGGTATGGCTTGCATGAAGGTGAAGGTGTGTCCACACTGATGTCTGTACTGGAATAGTAAAAAAGTTATTATCAAGCACAAAATGAAAGACTCTGTCATTCGCGTGTGCAGAAGATATTTGATTGAGTCCGCCCTTTTTCTTGGGTATGTCTCATGCACATTGAATTGGCCCAGACAGGTAGGGTAAAAAAAAAGCATAGCTTTTGAATTACATAAATTTTGTTGATGGAGACATAAAAATAATTGAAGTAAAGAAAAACAACAGGCAGTCTCTCATTTTCTCTGTTTGACTTCCCCTAAGTCTGTTTTATTTTAATAGCTTCTTGTAACTACATGACTGTTTGAACAACAAGCATCTTGGTATTGCAATGCAAAATTTTATAAAATGTTAATATTGATGTCAGATGAGGTGACAATTGACCTTTTTTCCCCTGTGGAGTGACATTTAAAAATGTGGTACTATAGCCATGTCCAAGTGCGGTGTGTGCTGTTAAGGTGATGTTTGTGGTTATGACATATCTTTTTGTCTCAGTACCTCATATATATAGAGTTATCCGATTGTTACTGGCAAGCATATGAATGTCAACTTATGACAGTAAAAGTTCAAATTTACGTCTCCATATTGCTCAGAAGGTATGTCAGTTGTGAGTGTTATATTGTTGCCCCGGATTTTATGGGAACTGTCGTAAGTCTCATGACTGAGAAAAAGTCTACCTTTGTAGCTTAGTATCTAACCAGAGTGCATGCTTCGGAAGGTCCACTGAGCTAGAAAATGCTACATGTGTTCACTATATGTTTTTGTATTGATGAAGTCTGATGTTTTTCATTGAACTTTTAATTTTTTTCCAGAGTGAAAGGTCTACACGAATGTATAAGAAACTGCAAATGATATTCGAAGAAGAAAAGGTATGCCTTTAAAGTTTTGACTGGATCGTATGATGAATAGTAATCAGTGTGATTGATGATCTTTTGTTTTTAAAGGTTGCAGCTCTCATTTCTTAGCTGTTGATTAGATCTCTTTATTTACCGTGTTATTACTTTTATTCCTGTTTTAATTTTATATTGTTTTTCTATGCACTTGTCTCAAATAAGAAATGATATTTAATTCCTCCTTTCTGTTTTATATAAGTTATGTTCTATTTTAATGCTTTTATTTCATTTTACATTTTAAAACCATTAAGTTCTTTTTATCTTAAAGGTAAAATGGGGATTTGATACAAAATTTTGATAAAAGATTTTTATTAAACGTTTTCCTTGTGTTCTGTTCAACACAGTTCAAGTCAAGACAACGAAATAAAAATCCATCTTTGATGTTCAGCTTTCTGAGGGCAGCTTGGCCTATGCTAATACTCTCTGGACTGTTTCGCCTCATTGGAGATTGTCTGGCCTTTGTTGGCCCCCTCCTCATCGAACAGATTGTTGACTATGCTTATGAAATGGAGGAGCAAAAGTCTAGTCCTGTCCCAGATGTAGTTGTGGCAACTACTGTTTCAAATTCGACGAAATCAAAGGTTTGATGTATTTCTTGATTCTTTCACAGATTTTGCTAATAAGTGACTGCTGTTGTTTGGTTATCCTTCTTTGGTCATTTGTAATTTTGACTGATGAGTAGACTCGTGGTCAAGAAAGAAGCCTACTAAACAGAGGTGCTGATTTTGCGGATAAATAAAGAAATCAAAATGTCTGAAATTGATTGGATTTGTTTTTCAACTTCAGTGATTATTTTCTTGTCTGTTGCAATATATTCTGCTTTTACATGTACTTATAATATTTTTTCCCCTTTTTTGTACTGTATATTGCCCTTTATTTTAGAATAGTCTGCAACTTTTTCTGATACTGGCCGTTGTTCTAATGTGTGTATTTCTCTTCTTCAGGTGTATACCTATGTCACAGTGCAGCAGTTTTTCTGGAATGGTTACGTCTTGTCTGTTGTCTTGTTCCTGGCTTCCTTACTGCAGCAAACACTCCTGCAGAATCACCATTTCATTGTTATACGAGAAGGGATCCGTGTTCGTACCGCTGTGCAGGTAGGTTGGAGCTTGCGCGTCTGTCATTTGTCTTATAACATCCAAGCTCTGTTAGTAGTTTGTGCATCCGTTTTTCTGTCGTATGTATATTGTGTCTCTGTTAGCTTTGTACAGAACATGAGAAGTTGAAGCAATCCTTGTGGATGGTTTGCAGGGGTTCTGGTGTGGTTTAATCCTTCTTTCCTGTCAAACATATGTTATCCTTATCTGTCCTCTTTTTTCTTTGTATGTTTACTGTCTTGTGACAACTCTATTCTTTAGCACTTATATGACCTATTTGTGTTGCAAGTACTGTGAGTGGGTGGTTGGCGGGTGCTCTGATGTGGTTTGCTCCTTCTTTCCTATCAAACATCTATCGTCTTTATTTCCCCTTCTTTTTTATGTTTGTTACTCTCTTGTAACGCCTCTAATCTTCTGGTGCTCATATGAACTTATGCAGTTGCGAGCGCCGTAATTGGTAGTGTTTACATTTTTTGAAATAGGATATTTATCTGGACCTTACTTTTTCCCGTGTTTCTTTTACCAAGTGAACTCATAATAAGCGGAGCTCTTGAGAACTTTATATGTGCATGGATTTAGAAACTGGCGTTGGAAACAGAGAACGTAAAAGTATGATTTATGATGGTCTGAAGTGAGGATTGTTATTGTAGTCAACAAATTTGGAACTAAAGCATCGGTCGTGCAAGTAGAAAAATGCGCTTGGCAGTGGGGAATGAGTCAATGTTGAAATGTTCACAGTGTATTCTCCTCTCCCTCTCTACAGGCATCTGTGGTGTAGCAGTAAAGTACTTTGCAGTTGCATACAGAAGACATGAGTTGGATTTCTGTCTGGGGAGAATTTTTATCTGGTTTCTCCATCTTTCTGCAGGGATGTTATATTCCTCTCAAACTGGGTTCATCACGATTGGCAGGTTTGAAATAGCCTGCCTTTTAAATGATTAAAATTTTGTCATCATTATCATCCGGTGCCTTGCCGACTGGCGTGGGTGATCATGGACCTCCACTTCACTCTGTCTTGCGTTGCAGAAATTGTGTCTGTTGTTGTTGGTGCTCCTAGCCATATTGTCATCTTGTCCAGTATCTTTTCCCTCTGTCTGCCTCTGCCTCTCTTTCCATCAAACTTGCCTGTTGTTACAATTTGGTGTAAAAGATTTACAATTGTAATTTTATTTTCTCTTTCTCTCTCTCTCTCTGCTTTTACAGGCCATGGTGTACAGCAAGGCTCTCAAGCTCTCCACTCTGGTCCTGAGTAATGGCCAGTCCACTCTGGGACAGATCATGAACCACATGTCCATCGACTCCACCTTCCTCATGTTCTTTTTTTTCTTTGTCCACTACATCTGGGCACTGCCAATACAGGTAAGCAGAAGCAGTTCTTTATAGTCTCTGGTAAAGCATTACAGTTAAATATCTGAAGACTGATGTTAAAAAACAACAAACAAACAAACAAAATCAAAAAGGTTACATTTGGGTGATTTTGAGAAATCTTTGGTTTTAAAGTTTGGAAATTTGTATCTCATAGAAGGCTTAAAAATTTCAGTTGTTCATTTTGAAATGGATTATCCCGTTTTTGTCCCTGTAAAATTGTAGCGTCTTGAAACCCCTCCAGGGGATATAACTCAAGGTGAGAAAATGTGTACCTGTTGTTTTTCCTTTGTAGTCTTCCTATAGTGTAGCTTTGCCATCTGCATTTGTCGCAATTGTGTTTTACGTAATCTTCTATGAAATGTAGAGGCTTTTGGCTTTTGGCTTTTGGTGAGTATGGGATGTAGAATTATTTAAAAGTGCAACAGAACTATACCAGTCGGAATGCAAGTGCTTTGAAAAGAAAAAGAAAATACTAACTTTTATTTATCCACATTTGGAATTTTTTTTTTTGGGGGGGTAAGTGTTTTACGGCGCTCGCAACTTGCCTAGGTCATATGAGCGCACGGGACACATTAAACATTTTCAGTTGGTAGGAAAGTTTGAATTTTTTCCTGGTGGCGGTTAGACCGCCAAGGGATCTTTAACATGCACAACTTGCACATGGGACCTCCGAGATTTTTTGTCCTTGTCCATGAAGTCTTAATGTAGATCTTTCCTACCAGAAAATTAGGGGTGTGGCTGAAAGACAGCTGTAAGGAGCCTAGTAGTAGCAGTAGAAAGGCTGCAGAAAGAGTCAGGAACCCAGAGGAGGGGGCAAAGGAGGTGAGGGGGTGGGGGTAGAAAGTGGAGACGAAAGCAGACGACAGAACATTTCTTGAGAGCAGGAAAGGAGGTGAAAGGAGAACATTTTAGAGAAGAAAATATTTTGGTTGCTACTCGGATTCGAGCCCGGGACCTTTGAATGAGAGGCAAACACCTTAACCTCTAGGCCACAAGAGCCCCCATGGGAAATTTAGGCTTCCATGGCACCATGGCACATGGCAACATATTTCAGAGGTTACACCAAGATCTCATGATGTGATACTCAGTATAGCTCCAATCCAGACAATGTTTTAAAAAAGCCCGTACAGGAGAGATATGAGCTCTTCTCTTCTCGGGATACCATCCAGCCCCCCATATTGCAATGTACAATGCATACTTTTTCATTTAACCTTTGATGCATCAAGTGAAGAAGAGATTGAGCCATTTGAATTTTACCAAGATTTAAGATATTTTTCATGTATTTATGAAGGATCAAGCTTGTTCTTAACTTGATTTGCTTTTAGAAAAATGTAGTTTGTGAATGACTTAGATGGTTTTTTATTTGACTGATGTCATAAGGACTGATGGGTAATAGTTTTGGGTCATTTTTTTTCTCAAGGTGTGTCCAGTTCGCTTCCGTTTTCTTTTTCTGATTTCTATATGTTTTTCTATTGATTTGTATTGTTCTTTACTTGACACCTTTTGTGAAATTTTTTTTTTGTGTTGTGTCTTCTCCCAGGTGAGCCTGTCTCTGCTTCTCATGTACTACAAACTGGGTCTGGCTGCTGTCATTGGAGGGCTCTTTGTGATATGTGCTGCGCCCCTCATGTACCTGCTCGGTGTGTGTATGTCACGGATGCAGAAGAAAGTCATGGTAAGTGTTTAATCGTTCTTTGGAGAGCCCTTGTCATAAAACAAGACGTTCAATCCTTTCTAAAAAGCTTTGCTATTTTAAACATAAAAACGTACTACTCTTTCGAATGGTAGCTTACATAGTGTGTTATTTATTGCATTTCTGAAATGTTTGATTTTCTATAATCAGTGTATTTATTCGATATAGTAATAAAAATCTTCCCCGTATAGCATCAGTTTTTAAAAGAAATGATATCTTGCTTGTGATCAGTGTATATGTCTTGTTCTCAAATACAAATCCCCTTGATGTATCCATTTGTGAAATGGGCAAATTGGTAATACATGTTGTTTTTAAATAAAATACTTCCCCTTATGACATTAGTTTATGAAATGGTTGATGTCATGTTATCATCTAGTGTATGTGAGGTTTTAAGATATACATACCCTTGTAGCATTCGTGTATGATGTGGACAAAGTCTTTGTATGCAATGTTTTTAAAGAAAATACTTCTTTATTTTCTTTTGTAGCTGCATTCGGATAGCAGAGTGAAGAAAGTGAATGAAGTGGTTCAGGGCATGAAAGTGATCAAGCTGCTAGCCTGGGAGCCTGGCTTTATCCAATCTGTGGGGCTTTCCCGGTCTGCTGAGATGTCCTACCTCTTGCCTCACACAGTGTTCAAGGCTTTGATGGGTAAATTGCATTCAGATGTTTCACTACTAAATACTGTAGACAGATTTTCTTTTTTCACACTGCTTGAATTAGAAATTTTCATAATTTAAAAACAAATTTGTGAATTAGAGTCATTTGCAAAATCGTTAAAGTGGTGCTATTGTAATTTGAACACATGACATTTGAGGACTCGAATCGCGAATTCAAAATATTTTCAGAACAAGAAATTGAGAAATGTGAAAAAAAGAGGGTGCAGAGAAGCCTGATGTACTGTAAATTTTCTTTTTGTCTCTGTGCATATCACATACAGGTAGCTAGAGAGTGCCACAACTAGGTCTTACATCTTTTCTTTCCATCCGTTGTCTGTCCATTTTTGTCCCTGCCCAGAATAACCATTTTACGCAAACAAAAAAATATCAAGCAGATGACAACACAGCACACTCTAAAGTCCATCAGAATTGTCAGTTCAGTTCATTGAGATCCTTGTTGGTCACCTAACTTTTGTGCTCTGTTTTTAGGTTGTATTGTGTGCCCTTGCATCTTATCGGGATGAAGTGGATATTTAGGTTCGTCTTTTTACACATTTTTTTTCTTCTCTTTTCGATAGTGCTTGACCAAAACTTTTAATAGAGGTTTATTCATAAACAGGAAATGGACAAAAGTAAGACAAATCCTATAATGAAACATAAATACTGTACTAACTTTTTCCTTAATCTCTTTGTGCAGGTTTTATTGGTATTTGTGCTCCAGTCATTGGCACTCTGCTGGTAAGTGATCTTTTTCTGAAGCCTCTATGTTCCTCAAGTTCACTTTCTATTTTTTTCCCAGATGTTTGAAATGGTAAGAGTGGAATGCGTAGCTTATAGTTTTTTCCTATAGCTTTACTGAATCAGGATATAATTTTTTTAAAGTGCATGATGTGATAAGAACTGATAGTACAGCATGTGGTTTTGCGAGAAGCTTTGTGGATTCAGGGTATGATCAAATGATCAAGGAGGATGAAAACGTGTGAAGAAAACAGAGGAGATAGTTGTCTTATCCCACAATAAAAACTCATACGTCAGCAAAGATAGTGTATAACAAGATAGTTCACTCCTCTCTTTGAGCCAATTAAAAAAGTGTCATAAAAATTCAGTGGCGCCCTCTTCGTAAAAGCGTGGACTTTGCGAACAGTTACCATATTTGTGTGAAAAACAATAAAAGTGAAACTAACAACCTGTGCTGTTCCTATTTTTCTTCTTGATAAACGAAAGAGAGCTTCAAAACAAAGGCTGTAAGGCCATCTGCAGCAATGCGCGGACCTGCGTGGACACTTTTTTGGCTGAGTGAACCATCTTGTTATGTACAATCTTTGACATCAGGTACCAGTTTTGTCTTTTTTTAACCAATTTCTTCTTGAGTACCTTGGAAAACGGCATTTGGCTGTGTGTTAAGCAAGGGATGGTTCTACTCTAAATAGATAAAATGGTTCTGTAGGTAAAAACCAATTTCACTTTGAGATGAACGTCTTTCAGTCAGTTGCTACCATAATTTAGAAAGAGGAGGCTCGCCCAGTTCTGATGTTGTTGTTGTTGTCGTTGTTGTTGCAGACGTTCATGTTGTACCCGATGCTGGAGGACAAGCCACTGACCGCTGGAGCCACAATGTCTGTCCTGGCCATCTTCAATCTCCTGCAAGGTCCACTACAGGTCTGTGTTCCTCTCTTGTGTCTTTGTGGGTTGTTGGTGGGTGCTCTGATGTACTGTGGTTTGCTCTTAGTTTCCTATCAAACATCTATCACCCTTATCTCTCCTTCTTTTTTTGTGTGTGTTTATTACTCTCTTGTAAAACCCTAGTCTTTTGCACTTATATCTCCTAATTGTGTTACAAGAGTCTACATAACAAGAGGGTCCACTCCTCTCTTTGAATCAATTAAAAAAGTGTCCTCAAAATTCGGTGGTGCCCTCTTCGCAAATGCGCACCTTTTGCGAACAGAGTTACCCTACTTGTGTGAAAAAAGTTAAAGTGAAACGAACAGGTTTTTGAATAAATAAGAATTACAATTTCTGAAGAACGCTTTTTTAAAATGGTTACGCTGACAAAAAACCTCTTCCGGAGGAAGGGGCGACTGTTTTCTTCGTTTAATTTGACTGTAGAATGAGGGGTGAGAGGTTATTCAAACAAAAAAAAAACCTAAAACTCCGCACTGAACGAACCCTAACAGCTGATGAACAGCAGTCGATCTGCACACGCAAGGAGGTGCTCTTCCTATTCTTCTTCTGGAGAAACGAAAGAGAGCTTCAAAACAGAAGCAGCGCCATCTGAAGTAAAGAGCGGACTTTCGGCGAACACTTTTTTGGCTGAGTGGACCATCTTGTTATGTACTATCTTTGCTAATACTAAACTTTTGTGTCTTTTGGTTTTGTATATTTGATTTATGTGACACTGATATCTTAGGAGACTTGAAAAAGTGAAAAATTTGTATTACTAATATCATTGTTGTTATTTTGTTATTCTTAAAATATTGTTATTGGTGATGGTTGTGAATAATACTGATGATGGTGGTAAAAATGTTATTTGTTTTTGTTGTTGTTACTATTATTAATGCTATTTGAATTAGTTATTGGTATTATTATTTATTACTGTCTTTATGATAAAAAGAATTGTTTTATTACAACAATTACTGTGGCTCAAATATGTGGAGAAAAGGATGAAGAGTCACATGCTATGACAAATCTAAATTGGCTTAGATATCTGATACGACTGGGTTTCTTCTCTTCACAAATGTCGCATGGAGAAATTTTTTATTTTTACAATAACTGTTCAAAGGAGTGTTTTAAAAAAAAGAGCGGCCCAGAATTCTAGAAATATGATAGGACATGGAAATGCTCAAATGGGTGTGGGCTTGTAGGACCCTCTGCTTGTAATAACAAAGTGTTTCCACTCTTTCTAACCGAATGTCTCTGTCTTTGTTCCAGATCATGTCTCTGTTATCTGCGTCCATTGCCAATGCTCAGGTGAGCTGTGGACGCTTGCTCCCCTTCCTCATGTCTGAAGAAATCAATCGACCTCACGAATCCTTGCCAAGTTTATCCAAGTCGTGCAGCGTTGGTTTTGATTCAGCTCCTTCTGGCCATGCGACGGTTAGTTTAAAAAATTTTCTTTCGTCGTTACAGTATGGAGATGATGCGAAAGTTATCAGTTACAGTAATGGAGATGATGCAAAGGTCGATGGAAATGATGCAAAGGTCAATGGAGATGATGCGAAGGTTATCAGTTACAATAATGGAGATGATGTGAAGGTTATCTTTGCATGACATAGTCTTCATATAATAGATTGTAAAGAACTTGTAGAGCCCACTCGTCAACTGGTACCACTTATAGTTGTGTTTATTGCAGGTAAATATTCTTCTTTGTTAATAGCTTAGTGAATAACTATTGCTCATGGCAAGCAGATGCATATGGTTCCATTTGAGAAAAGAAACTGCTTGATTCATCAGTTTGGCAGAGACTTTGAAAAAATCTATAGAACTAATGAAGAATAGATAATCTTTTATTTAAATGTAGGAGATTTAAAGTAGCGAAAATTGGACACCTTACAAGCCTTTACCGCTGTCCCTCTAACAATTTTGTCTGTTGCTTTTCTTGCTAGATGCATTCCAGCTGCTGACTTACTTGTTGCTTGTTCAGAAGGGCCTATAGCCACAAACCTCAGTTCTCCATTCCTAGATTTCTCATGTCAATGCCTGGGTAATCCAGCAACTGACTGGCAATGTAGCATTCACTTTTTGCCAATTTTATTTTGAAAATCAGGGTGTGGGTGCTGTCAGGTTTTTTCTTTTAAATGAAAGATACTTTTTTTTAAACATGGAGGCTAGGCAGATACAACTCAGGGAGAAATGTTGATATCTACTCTGAAAGGAGTACTATCAATGGTAAAATGTAGGAGGTCTTGTATTGTAGATAGCATTGTCATAAAGAAGAGTTGTTTTACAGGTTGACAAACTGGACTCTGTAATCAGCACAGACGGAAAGAGCCAAACTGCACAGATGGAACTTCTTCCGCTAGAGAACCGATCGTGTCGTAGCAGTATTTGCTCAAACGCCAGTGCCAAAATGCCTTCTTCGCCCACTCAGTCAAGACAAAACAGCACAGATCTCCCAGCTAAAAATAAAGGAGGTATTGGTGCATGGACTACTATTGTCAGGCTTACTCTTTCGTTTTCAGAGACACCCATAACAACCAAGATTATAGGAAAACTTATGAAAGTAATAATCATTATCAAAAAGCTGTAAGAGCAGACTCACTTAACACCAAGTTATGAAATGCTGAGGCCTATGTACTCCAGCCTCTTGTCATCTTTTGTTGGGTAATGTGCCACAGATCCTTTGTGGGTTGTTGATGGGTGCTCTGGTGTTGTTTGCTCCTTCTTTCATATCAAACATCTATCGTCCTGATCTCTGTTCCTTCGTTTTCCATATCTGTTACTCTCTTTTAACACCTGTAATCTTCAGCACTATGATCTAATTGTGTTGCAAGTGCCTTAACACGCTTACTAAAACAAAATAAAACAGGTCCTTTACCTCTTTCCTCTCTGTCAGCGACTCACATTTTCCACGCATGATTATACTTTTAAGAACATACAGCACAGATGAGTAAAGTGTCCTTGTCTTTTCTTTCACTTCAGAGACAGTGATAATGAGCACCAGCCTGGGCAGTGCCAGCGGTTCTAGTCTCCTGGAGCCCAAGCGTATGGGTCTGTCTCGGAACGCGACCAGCTCCGAGCTGCTTGACGTCAAACCCTCCAACGCTCTCCTCAGGAAGTCTAGTGCCCCGGCCTTGGCTGTGTCCGAGTTCACGGGTGAGTACAAAGGTAATTATAATAATTATTACAAATAATTGCATTTATGTATTTAGGGCATATCCATGCTCAAGAGCATGCTCTTTGCTCTTCACAACTATTATTACCATCCCCCCATCGGTAGTCTTCCTCTTCTCCTTCTTCTTCTCCTTCTTCTTCTCCTCCTCCTTCTTCTTCTCCTCCTCCTCCTCCTCCTCCTCCTCCTCCTCCTCCTCCTCTGTTTTTTCTTCTTTTTCTTCTTCTGCTTTTTCTGCTTCTGCTTCCTCCTCTTATGATTGTTTACTTTTTTCTACCAGGTGATTATAAGCGGAGGCGTCACCATAGCAACCGTTCTGTTGACGAGGAGGATCCAGTGATAGAAGACTACTCTCTGATGGAGCTTCAGACAGTCATTGATGTACAGGGAGGGAATTTCTCCTGGGACCTCAAACAGGAGGATGTTGCTCTCAACGATATCACAGTCAAGATCCCCACAGGTGATTTTCTGAGATATATACTCTTAAAAAAAGAAAAACAAAGAAAGAAAAGAAATGCATTACAGCATAGTACTTTACTACATTCATTTTACCAATAGGTAAAAAACTTTAATTGTGAAAAAACAAACACCCCAATACTTTTGAACTTTACTGATAACATGTACTGCTGAATTTTTTTTTAAAAGTCTGAACAAGTCTTGCATTTCATGTTTACCTATTACGAGTCCCAAGAAATATGGGTCTAGATTATGCTTTTCTTTTTTTTGAAGGATACAGAGTAGAGACCTGCCACTCATCCCGATTTAGTCGCGATCGGGATATCCCGATTTTTGGCCCCAAATCTCAATCATGCCGATCTCGATCATGTGTATCCTGATTTTTTGTTCCAGTCTGCTGTTGCGCCAGATTTTTCTAAAAACTTACTCTGCCTTCTTCTCTATCGCGGGAAGCACCCGTTGAGCTTTTTGTCGGTAGGAACTCGGAGCATTATTTTCCTAAATATTGATGCTGGATGTAGTAGATGACTCGCCCCAAGTTGTGTTTGATCTATGTCCGCTCTCAGAATTCTCAGATGACTGCCTGAAACTATTACAATTGCAACACACAAGTAATCGATAATATTCGTAGTTCTGCTGTTACTTTCAAAACAAGCCTCGTCCGAGGTCTAGTAACCGCGCGTTCACATCAAACACTCGGATGAGCGACTGTCATTCTCACTCTTGCACAACTAACTGCTCTGACTAGACTAACACTCAGCCTTTGTCTTCGCTTTGGTCTGAACGCATATGAGGGATAAGAGATATGTTGGTACATTTGGTTGATCGGCCGTTGTCATTAGTATAGAATGTCTGTCACTCGTCGGAGTGTTTGATGTTAACACGCAGTTAGTCGGTTCCGTCAGTAAAACTGTTTCAATTCCACATTCGCATTACGTGACATGACTTCGGCATGTGAAATCCGCGTGTCCCGGGACCATCCGTTGACGAGGTCAACTTACGTTCATGCACAGTGCTTGACGTGATGCTTCAGGATTTAAAAAAAAATAATGGTAACACACACACACACAAAGACACACACACACACACACACACACACACACACACACACACACACACACACAAAAAGAAACACATACAGAGGGCATATATATTTATGGACATCCCTGGAAAATGTTAAAGTCTACTTGGCAGTCACCTTGGTGAGTTGCTGTTTATCCCGATTTTGTTTCACCAAACCCGATTTTTTTTCCCCCTGAGATCCAGATTTTGAGATTTCATGGAGTGGCAGGTCTGAGAGTGTTACTATTACAGTAGCATTATGTCAGCAGTTGCTGCGCATATAATGATTCATTCACCACCATCGTTTTGATGGGCTTCTTTTTATTTAAACTAATAAATGAACAATAATGGTTCATGTCTCTCTTTTTCCTTTCAGGAAAACTGAGCATCGTTGTTGGTCAGGTGGGCTCCGGGAAGTCGTCCTTGCTCTCAGCTTTCTTGGGAGAGATGATTCAAGTCTCTGGGAACATGCACAAGTCTAAGTGAGTGCACCCCCCAATAGATCTAAAGCTCTGATGATTTGAGCACATGTTATTTTTAATATCGGAAACTGGGAAGGATTGAAATGACAAAACAGCACAAGACTGTAGTGTAAAATGCCCCTTTATGTGTTTATGTGAATAACAGCTTGATGTCTTTATATGAAAAACGGCTTTATTTGAGAACACCAAGAAATTTGTATGGGCTATTGTGGAAAGATGCTGATTATTTGTATTATATTATTTTTATGGTCATTTTTTGTATCTTTCTCCTGTGTAGAAACATGAAGGTGGCATATGTGTCACAACGGCCCTGGTTGCTCAACGCTTCACTGAAGGATAACATCCTATTTGGAAAGCCGTTTGTGTGGAGGAAGTAAGTAGTAGCATCTATGCATTGTGCAATGATTGTTTGTGAGATCAATTTTATTCAGAAAACCACTGGAAACTTTGTTATACATCTAATATTATGGGTAGATATAAAGTTTTGAATTTGCTCTGATACAGCTAGTTTCAGATATGAAAGGATGTTCCTATAGCATCAGAATCCTTATAGAAGTGGTTTTATATACACTAATGTTTGTTTAAACTAGAATATTTTGGGCTGCCAAATTTTCTTAGGCATAGCTGGATTTTTGTACAGAGAGGTTATTTAAATAGAAGAGAGTTGTATTCTTTCGGTTTATAATTATTTTAGGATTAATCGTATTTTGTTGAAACCGACTTCACTGTACATTTATCCTTTCAGTTATAGTCCTACCTGGAGGGTTTTCCATAGCTCAGATGCGATAGTTACTAGAGCTTGCAAAATTCTCAGTAAGGCCAGCTGGTGTTTGAAGTAAAAATATTACAACATTTTCCTGTTTGTTAAACCATGCAAGATTCCCCTGAACTGTCCGAGATAACATGTAGAAAGAGTTACTGATCTTTGTTGCCTGTCTGTGCTTCAGTGGTATATTTGTCTTTTTTCCTTCCTCAGATACAGAAAAGTAATATCTGCCTGTGCTCTTGGACCGGATATTGAAATCTTACCTGCCGCTGATAACACAGAGATTGGGGAGAAGGTAATGTTTCACATATTGCTTTTAGCCACTGTTACAATTTTATGCAATACCTACACACTGTGTGAGTTTGTTTCTATATTTCGACTGCTTAGTGTAAGACTGTCTTTCACCATTTTGAAAAGTGGTACATGACAGAGTCCCTGTCTGAGCAGTCGAATTGAAAGGAGAGTACTGAATACCCTATTTCTCTACTACTCCACTTGATACACTTCTGTATTACTCCTCTCCTTAAACATCTCTCTATTCCTGCTCTTAATAAACTTCTCTATTTCTCCTTTTGATAAACTTCTGTTACTCCCTTTTATACATTTCTCTATAACTCCTCTTGATAAGCTTCTCTATAACGCCTCTTGATAAAATTCTCTATTGCTCCTCTTAATATTCTCAATTGCTCCTCTTGATCAACTTGTGCTATTACGCTATAACTGTATCATCTTAATTGTCTTTTCTCTTGCTTTATTTGATAATCATTCTATTGATAGTTCATTATAACGTGTTGATAAACTTCTGTATAATTGATCAAGCCAACTACCAACCTCCTCAGGGTGTGAACCTAAGTGGGGGACAGAAGCAGCGAGTCAGCATAGCCAGGGCTCTTTATTCAGAGGCAGACACTGTCTTTTTGGTAAGTTACTTCAACAGTCTGCACTCTCTACAATCACTGAAAAACATAAATTCTAACATTTTATGATTTCTCATGAGTATTTTGTATGGGTTTGTTTCATTTTTTATATTTTTAACTGAAGATCCTGCTTACCTAATTTCTTGCTATAAATGATTGTTGAGCAGCCTACTTTGCACTTTTTAACTTCTTTTCCATATTGCCTGTTCCAAGTAAAACATTTGAACCTTTTCAACATCATTGCCAAAGTGCTCGACAATAAAATTATTTCATTTCAAGTTATTACTGACAATGGTGTATACATTTTCAAACCATAATTTTCCATACTGCTCAATTGCGAATGGAGAATAATCAATCTGAGTGCTCTCTATCCACTGTTTGTGCTCTTGACTTGTTTTTGTGATCGTTGGAGTAATAAAAGGCACAGGCTGTTCCTACATTTTTCTTGAAATTTCAAATGTCCATATTACATTGAAGGAGTCATTCTTTGTTTTAGGATCATAAATGTTTGTTCTTTTGTTTCTGTCATGTCCCTCTTTTTTTCAGTGCGTGTCGGGTGTAAAGACATATTGACGGTGTCCAACTATAACCTTTTATCTGTAAAATTAGATCTAACATTTTAATTTGTTTGCAATTATGTTATATTCACATCCAAATAGTTACAGTTGATGGTACTATCAAATGTAAGAAGAACATTCTACCCTAAATGTGGGCAATTTAGAGAGGTAATAAGAAGAAATAGATTACTTTTCATAGACAAGCAGAATCTGACGTTGACAATATTTAGATCATTATTATAGGACTTGCAAAATGTAAATTCAGTGACTTGTTTCAAATTGAATGATTGAACTGTTTCTCTAATTTGTATTGTGTAGGATGACCCATTGTCAGCCCTGGACAGCCACGTTGGTCGTCACGTGATGGAAGAAGCCATCATGAAGCGCTTGGTGCGGAGGAACAGGACAGTGGTGCTGGTCACTCATCATCTGCAGTACCTCAGCCATGCACACCAGGTGGGGGTACTACCTTAACTCACTTGAACCTGAGCTATTTTTCACCCAACAACCGTTGCAGCCTGGCACTTTTGGGGTATATTGAACCGTTGACCACAAAAAGACCTTGAAAGCTATCATAATTTTTTTTTATGCTACTAGAGAAAGAAGGAAATGCTCTCACAGAAAAATAAAACTGCATCTAATTTGTCCGAATAGTTTTTATTTTATCAATATTTTGAAATGGCAATGTCTGGGCCTTTTTTTTTTGGCCCAATTTGTAAAAAAATCATCCACCGCAATGCAGGGGGGACTGACTTAGTTCGTTACAGTTTAAAAAATTTCGCACATAACTTCACCAAATATTTAACAAAACGAAACAAGTGGATCAACTGTTGGCTCGCCACTTCCTGTAGCTTACACCCGAAAAACACCGGAGATATCAATCAATAAAACGCATCCCATAAATACGCAGGGTTCGGTTGACAGGCTGGCGGGACATCCCGCAAATACACAGGAATAGGCTCAAAGGAGTTAAAGCTTCTTTTATTGTTCTTGACATAGTATTGTAATGACTGTTAGTGGCTTTTAATTGTTTTTGTGATCATCGGAATAAGGCATAATTTAAACACTAGGTGGTGGGTGGTTTGCTTCTTCTTTCCTATCAAATATCTATCGTCCTTTCTCCTTCTTCTTCTTTGTGTTTGTTACTCTCTTGTAACACCTCTAATCTTCTGGCGCTCATATGACCTTATGCAGTTGCGAGCGCCATAAAACCTCTACTAAAATTAAAACTAAAACACTGGGTGGGTAACAGACCTTCTGGTGTCCTGTTTTGTTCATAACGTATTGTAATGAATTCGAGCACCCTCGTATCACTGTTAGTGGCTTTGAATTGGTTTTTGTGTGGAGTAAGACATGATCTCATACCAAGTAGGCAAGGTACTTTCTGGCTTTTTTGTGTTCTTAACACATTGTGTGTACTTCAGCCATGCATGCTAAGTAGGCACACCACCTTCTGGCTTCTTGTTTTGTTCTTAACTTATTAATAATGGATTGCATTTATATAGCGCATATCCATTTATGCAATGCTCTATGCGCTTAACATGATACATGTTATGAATTTACAAATTAATTTTAAAGGTACATAGTGTTAAATACTCGTGCAAACACATATTCACTCACGCACGTACCACACACACATACATACAAACATATACACATACGTACATATGCACATACGCACATACAAACTCACAACGATCTACAGCTTGGATGGATTCTGTCTAATCGAAATATGATGAAAATAGAAATGCTTTAAGTTTCTTCTTAAAAATTTATAGATTTTCTGCTTCTCTGATAGTTTTTGGAAGCCTATTCCAAACGAGTGGGGCAAAATATGAAAAAGAGCGTTGGCCAAATGATTTGTAATTTATTTTAGGCTTAACAAGGGTTGCTTTGTCACTTGATGATCTGAGCGTTCTTGGAGGCACATAGGGTGTTAAAAGCTGTTTTAGCTGTTATTGTAATGAATTCGAGGACACTCGTATCATTGTTATTGACTTTGAATTTTTTTGTGATCATTGGAGAAAGGCATATTCTAAACACCAGGTGGGCACACCGCCTTTTGGATTCCTGTTTTGTTCTCAGCCACACACAACCACAATGTTAAAAGTGATGGAATTATTCATCTAAACTGTCAGATGTCTTTTTTTAAAAAGTGGTGTATATATTTATTGTCTTAACTATATTAAATTATGTAAAGGTTAGCCTTACTGATATATTCTTGTTTATACCAGGTGATTGTCATGGCCAATGGTCACATCCACTTCCATGGCAAAGTCGGGGAGGTGAAGAAGTTTGACCCAGACCTGTATGATGTCTGGAGAAAGGCCATCAGAGATGCTAAGGCTTCAGAAATTAGGTAAGCCCAAAATAGTACAAGCCAGATAGGGTCAGGTGGAGGAATTTGTATGAAGAGATAGAACATAATTATCGTGGCATTTGAAGTTTGGGAATGTTTGTTGTGTGATTAATTGTTGACGGAATGGTGAAGGTCATAGTTCAAATTTGCACTTCTCTTGGATATTTTAAAAAATTTTAGTCAGGTTAGACAAGTGAGCTTGGACTTCTTTATTTTCGTTTTGTGTTTGTGTGTCTTTGTGTGTGTATGTGTGTGTCTGTGTGTGTGTGTGTGTAGGGGGGGTGTTGTTTGGGGGGGTTTTTAAAGTGCTTTTTTGGTAGTTTTTAAAAATTGTTTTTGTTTTCCTTTAACTCAAGTGTGTTGTTTTGTCGTTATTAAAACATTTTTTATAGTTCATTACATAGAACTGGCTAGTATGCGAGAGGACTGGCTTGTCTGAGTGCTCTAGGCAGTTGATGGGATCTGCGTCTTTCACTTTTTATAGCAGATTCTGTTGTTGTGTTCTGTGCTGGATAAAAAGTTCTCTTTTAATATTCTGACTTGGTGTAACCTTCTTTTTCGTGTTTCTAACTCTCTTGTTGTACTTTTAATCTTTAGCAGTTATATGACCTAATCTTTGTGTTACATGTGCTATAAACCGCCTAGTAAAACACAAACAGCCCCCCCCCCACCCCTCCCGAAAAAAACCAAAAAACCTGAGAAGAAATGAGTGCTCTTTGCAATAGGCGTACAGCCCTATTTTAGATGAGATGGATTTGCCAGGGTTTTATAGACTTATGTTTTGATTGTAAACAACTGAGGCATGAGCTGGCATGCCATGTGCAAAGAGTTAAATTTCTCATGTCTTCTCACGGGTGATTGGAGGGCACCACTGGTAGATCCTACTTCTTTACTTTCCCTCTGTTGTTTCTGTTGGTCTCTCAGTTTTTTCCAGCACTAAATAACCATTAATGTGTCAATCTGCCACTTTTTACTCAGACAAATCATCATGTTTTTTCTCTTTCTTCAGTCAGCGTCTAGAGATTGGTGACTCATTGGCGCTGGAGCGCAAACACAGCGGAGGTAGCCAGGTCAGTCATGATACCATTGTCCGCCCCTCCTCCTCCCAGGTTGGTGATCTTTTGGTTTTTTTTGTTTCTTTGGTTTTCCGTTTGCTTTATTTTCATGCTCTTCGGTTGTGGCAAAGACTGTATATTCTGAGATGGGTTACTCATCCTGTTCCTGGTCATTGGACCGCAAAGATATTTTTAGCCCGCACGAGTAAACCCAATACTAATAGTATATCAATTTCTTTTTAATTGGGAAAGTGGGTGCAGATTTATATCCCTTTTCTAAGGTTGTAAATTTAATGTTCTTGTAAAAACTGAGAGGGTGAGTTCTCATTTATGTTTGCTTAACCCAATGAGGATTGACAGTCTTTGTAATTTGGAAAGTGAGTAAAGAGCTATATCCCTTTGCTGATGTGATGACATGGAGAATTATTGTAAATGGGAACTTGAAAACAGCCCTTTGCTGATGTGGGGGAATTATAATAAAAATTGTGAATGAGGACATGAGAAGAGGCTTATATCATTTTGCTGAAATGGGTTCCTGTTTGCCTTACATTTAAGACACACCCCCTATCGCCACCCCCGATACCCCCCTCTTCCATGTTAAAGACCCGAGTCCCTGTCTTGGAATACTGCGATCTTCGTTTTTGTTCAGCTGACGCCAGCTCACTATTGTTGCTATGGAGGCACGGATCATGCTGTGTGTGTTGTTTTACACCACGCTGCGTAGACACACCGCAGATCTCTCTCTCTCTCTCTTTTTTTTCGTTCTTTTTTTTGTTTTGTTTTGTCATTCAGAAGTGGTGAATGTGCTTTAACATGCCTTAAGCAAAATAGTTGACACTGCTCCAGCTGTTGAATGTTAGGTTGGAAGTAGCATTGGCTTTTTCGTTATTTCTGTAACTCTTTTGTTTCCACGGCTTAAGAGTATATGTGGTATTGTCTTTTTACTGTGGAAAATGTGTATATATTATATCCCTGTATGCAGGGAATATTATATCTGTATATTCAGTCGAAGTTGTCCCAAGGGAACCACCCGTTATCAGGTGAAAAGTGATTGTCTTTGACAGTGTCATTTTAGTATTAGGAAAAAACGATAGGGTGGGTAAGTGTGAAATGTTATTTATACAGGTATTGCTGGTGTCAGAGTACAATAGGGAAAGGTCATCCTGTTGTTTAGTTCTCTTAATAAGGTATGTCAGGACAGATTGCCTTCCCATATTCTTATGTTTTTGTATGGTTTTTGGACTAGAAGAAAAAGCAGTTCTCTAGGGAATTGTATGTTGAAAAGCTAGTAGGATATTTATGAGAAGCATAATGTGTTCTTGTCATGCCGTTTGATGTCATAGAAGATATGTACCGAGCTTGGATCTGGAGGCTTTCTTTTGAAACAAAATACTTATTGTGCTAAGTCTGAGGTGGTAAAGGAATGCTATTTGAGTGCAGTGTATTTTTGTTTCTAGTTGAACACATTTGCAGTTAGATCAGTCTTGTAAGTTTTATTGCTGTGAAAGGTGTGTCAGATAGTTAGTAAGTTAGCATCTTGCCTCCTGTGGTGGTCACAAAGTCTTTGCTTCAAACACACCTACCCAGTCTTGGCACAAACTGATCACAACTTTTGCAGCTTGATCAAATCTGCTACCTCATTTTGTTTTGTTTGCTCTGCTTTGATAGTCTACCTCTCTTAGGCTGTTATGGACCCTCTGGTTTTTGGCAAATTGAACCTTGATGTTAGCAGTTGAAGCTGAAGGTCTTACTTCTTGCCAATTTATTCATTATCACTACCTATTGCTTTACTTTAGCTGGAAAAAAAACTTATACCTCAGCATGGCCAAACTACTCGATCCAACAGAGGTGTCAAATTTTCTTCGGAAATCTGGATTCTTGACATTGTCCGCATTTTGCCAGACTTCAGGTTGATTGTAGAGAATTTGTTTCACCATCTGTAAGATTAGTCTTGATGTGAGACTTATTAGACAAAATGATCCGTAAATTTTGAGTCTGCCCTGGGAGCATTTTCAGGGAGGTCCAAAAAAGTCTGGGATATTTTTTTTCTGTAGCCAGTTTGCATCTCTACTCCTACCTTTGTTGGAGAAGAAGTCCGCCAGCCTCATGCTTTTGTTCTTTTCTAGTAAGACTTCAGTTTGGTCAGTTTGCCTTGAGCTGCTCTTCTGTTATTGAAGGCAAGTGGTAATGCTGTACGAGCGCCAGTTTTGTGCTCTGTCTTTGTAGTGTGGGACTGGGTTTAGTGTGTTCTGTAATATCCAGTGCACACAGCCAATCGTATTCAATCGATGTGAGTCGGGCCAGCCACCTGATTTTCCTTCAGGGATGGGACAGTGTCTACCATTTTGACACAATGTGACTTATTGGACGGGCAATCTTAGGCTACAGTCGAATCTAGTTGAATTCAGTGAAAATGGTAGCTTTTGCTCCATCCATGAAGAAAAATCTGGATGGCTTCAACTCAAAATCAATTAATGTGATTTACAGTGTGCACTAGGTATTAGTTGTAATGTGTAATAGGTTATGGTAACATTTGCTTGTTTTTGTGGTCATTCCATGAGTTCATCAAACAGTTTCTATATTTTGTACACATCAACAGTATCAGCGCTGAACACTTAAATATATACATAGATGTATAACAGGTAAAGATATGCATAGATGAGCACTTTTATAACCCTCTCACTCTCATTCATTCTCTCTCTCCTATATCTCTGACTCTTATCATCACATATTTTGTTCACAGTTTTTCCCTCCTTTCTCATTGCCACTCTTCCCCATCCTCTTTCAATAACCCACACCCTTTCTTTCTCTTCCCTCTCGCACTGGTCATGTTTATTTTTTTTCCTTCTTTAATAGTTCCATATCCTGACAAGCAATTTTATTTGGACCATTTAAAAAAAATCTCCTGACAGCATTTTAAGCCCTGTTCTCACTGATTTCAAACCTGCTCTCAACTGTTTAAAACCTACTATCACCCCTTTGAAACCTGTTCTTACTACTTTTAAAGTCTACTCCCTCCTTAACTACCTAATCTCGTTTCACCACTGAGCAGCCAATGTTCATGTCTTAATAATCTGTTGATGATACTTTGAACCCTACTCTCACCACATGACAAGTCTGTTCTTATCTTACTGCTTGCAAGTCTTCTCTCACCACGTTTAAAACGAGTGTCCCCACTCTATATTCTGGGGTCACCAGCATTTTTATTCTCTTCTCACCACTTGTAAACTTATACTCCCTATCTTTTAAAATTCTTTTCACCTCACCCCTTTCGAGGGGGGCTCAATAAGTCTTTGGTCTGGGTATGAAGAAATCATGGTAGAGTAATGAAATTTCGCCAGCCTTTAGACAATTTCTTTGGAACACACCATGCAAATTTTCAGGAAAATCCGACCATAATTAGGCACTAGTCAGAGAGACCATGCACAAAAGCGTTTGGTTTTTCTTTGCTGGAGCTGTGCCATGGAGCCTGTTAAATATCGTTCAGTTATCAAGTTTTGACACTTGCAAGGAAATTCCCCTTTTGACATTTTCAGGAAATGATCCAAGTTTTTGGTGACAAATGTCCCTGCTATATAATACTGTGACATACTGGGAAAGAAAATTCAAATCTGGATTCATGTCTGTGATGGGTGAAGATCGTGAAAGGCGCCTATCGTTTGTGGTATCTGAAGAGAATGTATCCATAGTGAAGAAACTGGTTTGACAAGACGGATGTATCACTGTTAAACAGCTCTCAAGTGAAACGGGAATCAGTGTTGGGTCAATTGAAACGATTCTCCATACCATCTTAACATGAATAAGGTGTCTACACGGTTGGTACACAGCCTTTTGACAAGTGAGCAAAAGAAGCAGAGGGTTGAGTCCTGCAAAACTTTCTTTCAAATTGAGTCCAATTTCTTTAAAAACATTGTGACTATGGGTAAAACAGGGATTTATCATTTTGATCCAGAACAAAAAATTTCCTCCATACAATTGAAAACCCCTTCTTCTCCCTCACCAAAGAAGGCAAAGGTAACGCCGTCAAGTGGAAAGGTCGTGTTTCTGGTATTGTGAAGGTATCATCATGACTACTGGAAAGTGTAAAAACAGTCACAGGAGAGTACTATTCGGGTTTGCTTATAAAATTTCGGTCCGAATTGGTGAGAAAAAGGCGTGGAAAACTCCATAATGGGGTCCTCCTACTGCATGACAACGCCCTTGCTCTCAGGGCACAGCAAACAGTCCAAACAAGAGAACAGTGCGGCTTTGAAGTCCTGCCACACCCAGCTTCTTCACCAGACCTAGCCCCTTCAGACTTTTTTCTGTTTCTCAATCTTAAAAAATCACTGAAAAGACGTTGTTTCCATGACAACGTGGACGCCATTGAAGCCGTGGAAGACTGGTTAGGGGCCCATTCTGGGTAATTTTTTTCTCAAGGACTTTTGATGGTCAAAGAGAGGCGGCAGAAATGTGTTACTCTGCATGGTGACTATGTAAAGAAATGAAAGTATGTGTGTCAAGTTACAAAGCTCTATGATTATTCCTTCCTATTTAGACCAAAGACTTCGTGAACCCCCCCGTACAACTTCTCTTTATATTCTTACGATTACAACACAAAATTACAATAATTTCTACCACTGTGACAATCCTTTTGGACTTTTTAAAAATAAACCAGTAGGCCTATGTCAGTTTACTAGTCACAAAGTGGAGGGCATTCAAGAGTATGAGCATACAGGTATATCGCTTTTGGGGGTAAAAATACCTACATTTAAGTAAACAAAAAAACAAAAAGCGGAAAATACTCCTGTCCTGAATTTCTTTCTCTAGCAGCTCGGAAGAATAGCGGCAACATAACTTTATTAATAGATTTCATCTTTTACTCATAGAATTTAGAACTAAGTACATGCTTTGTCATAAAAGATTTCAAGTAAATTGCGTCCATTGGGGAATAAAAATGCGACATTTAAAAACATTTTTAAAAAGTTTTGAATGTTTTGTATCAGCTGAAATGTGGAGAGGAGAATTTATATATATTTATTTGTTGTTGCACCAAATGAAAATTAGAGCTAGAGCATTCCTTCTTTGATTTGGTCAGTGGATAAATTCCTTTTTGGTTTCCTGTTGTTCATCGATATTGATGATGACAGTGATTGTGATTTAAGCCAAAACAACAGTACTTGTGACCCACAAGGCCTGCTTTGGGTCAACAGTGTCTTCCACATTTTAGACATTAGAAGTCTTTTAGCTTATTGGAATCGTCTGCAATGTCTTGTATTCGAGTTCATTTGTTTTATCGGGTACTCTGGAAAAGAAGGAGGCTTTGTATGAATGAAGGTTGTTCATTTAGTTCATGGAACTTTAGTTCATGGAACAGACCATCAACTTGTGAAAGTGGAGCTGGGCAGGCTTGTAAAATGTAGCCCTAGGGGTGGGGTTGGTTAGATCGAACTTTTTTAATGTATTAAAATGTAGTCTGTGTAAAAGTGTTAAAAATGTTGTGTTTCTGTTGCTTGGTTATATTATTGTCAGTGACATTTCTGTTCCGATTAAGGCCAAGCAGCACATTGTCTTGATAAAGTTTATTTTAATTTGACTCTGCTTTTAAATAAGAAAAGATAAGACAAGATTACATTTTATCGAGTTGCGCTAAGAGAAATTTGTTGCAGCATGGTAAACACATACACATGTCAATACACTGGTGCACACACATACACGCAGACACACACACACATGCACACACACACATACACACTCACACACACACACACTGAACACACACACACGCACACACTCACACCCACACATGCACACACTTACACGCACATACTTGTGTGCATACTAAAACACACTCTCACAAACACACACTGACATAAACACACACACATACACATTCGCACACACACTCATATATTTCTGTAACAGTAAATCTTATACGCACATATGTTTCACCGACTCCCATTCTCTAGCTCTATTATCTTTTTGCTTCCTTCATTACTCTGCCATTCTTCTTCATATAGTTTAAAAAGATGTTTAATGGATTGTAAGTAAATCAGAACATTTTTACCTGTACTGTTTGGCCGCTCTGTGTCCCACATCATCATCATCATCATCGTTGTTTTAAGTACTATTTTCAAAATCCAAAAACATTGATGAAGACTAGAGCATTTGAAGTATTATGACATTATAAAATATAATATGCACAACGTGTTGGTTGCTCTAATGGGCTTCTTCAAGAATGGGATAAAAAACATCATCATCACCATCATCATCATCATCATCATCATCATCATCATCATCATCATCATCATCACCACCACACATCTGTTGTTGGCGTTACACGGTCTAGCTGCAGTGTATGGCTTCTCACCACTGTTTTCACATTTCCCATCTGTCCTTAGTCGCTTAGACGTTTTGTAAGTATAGCTGCTCTGGAGAGCTACGGCCTCCTTTTTTTTTTCTTTTTTTTTTCAAATTATCGTTATCATTGAGCTCACAGCAGCACCCACCCACCCGCCCACCTACCCACGTTATCCCATCCCTCACACCCCACCTTCCACCTACTCAGTGTTAAGTGTGAGCACTAACTGACCCCTGGTTTGCCGTGTGTGCTGGTCTGTGGTCTGTGTGGTTTGTATCCTGATGGTGGTCCCTCCCCTTGATCTGGTCACAGCAGCCTCTTGATAAGCCTGGACATTATTGTGCACAGACCAGTTATTTATGCATACATCTCCATAGAATCCTATGCTCGGCACATAAAACTAGCTGGATGGTTGAAGAATCCTTCAGCACGATTCCTGGTAGAAATAAGTCGCTTTTGGTACTGAGTAAATAATAATGATTAAATAATTATAATAGCAAATAACCTTTATGCTGCGCATACTTATTTTTTAAAATTTGCTCAGTGCGCTTTACGGTCAAAGAGATTTATATCACATTATAAAATGAGGCAAGGGTTCAAGTTTGTCAGTAGTAAAGTATTTATTGTAGAAAATCATCATATCATTGAAATGGTCTCTACTTTTAGAAGCTTCCCTCAAACGTTTCTTTCTAAAATTATAAGTTTCACTGAAATCATCTGTACTTTTAGTAGCTTCCCTAAAATTTTTCTTTCTAAAGTTATAAGTTTTCTTTGAAATTGTCTGGGGTTGGGTTTGCAGTATGCTATAATAATTATCAGTGTTGTTAATCTCACATGTAATTTCAGTGGTTTCCCATCAAATGTTTGATCAATACAATAATAAGTTTTATTAATATTGTTTACGGTTTCAGTGCTTTCCTTCAAATGTCTCTTTTTATTGCTACTAGATTCTGAGTAGTGCTGTTTGGCAACCCTGAAAAAAAAATGTTATCTCGTCACATATCTGAACAAAAAGTCAGTGTTTTTTATCCCTTCTGCATCACTGGGATCTGAAGGTCCGACTACTATGGAGTAAATATAGAGAATCCTGTAGTTGAGAAATTAGACGATAAATATGTGCAAAAACAAATATAGGAAGTACTGATGAACTGTCAAGTCTAGTTGAACCATGGAATCACAAGGAAAGAAACAGCTTTTATTAAGAATGTGAACAAGGCTCAGGCTGTCAGCATTAGTGAGTCTTCCTTTCAAGTATTCTATATTTTTGTTTAATGTATTGGTTCACTGTCTTTTTTTCTTTTTTTTTTTCAAGAAACAATTTCAAGCTAGGTGAGGTTTGGTTTGTTGCTGTCTTTTAAGCCTTAATATCATTTTTGTTAACTGTTTATTTTCCTTTTTATTTCATGTAAATAGAGAATAATGCTCATAAAATGAAATTGGATAAAAGTAACTCGCAGCTTCTGAAAGTCATTTGCTTATCAATTATAAAGTTTATCTGTTTTTCTGTTTGGTGATTCGTTTTTCTTTCTTATTTTATTTAAAGCAGATAAGTCATCTATATTTTAAATTTGAAAAAAAAAAGTAATATTGATCTAAGATCAAAACTAATTTTTGTCTTCAAATTTTGCTTTAAAAAAAAAATGTGACTGAGCTTTAATTACAAAAACAAAACAAGTAAACCATCTAATTGCCAAAGGCCTGAAGATTCCCAAAATTAAATTGTCCTAAGAAATACAAAAAAAGGAAATGTGTTGTTTGTTCAGAGGTTATTAGTTTTAGTAATATAATGGAGACTTATACCTTTTTTTAAAGTATTAAAGGTCTCATTTTATTTTAAAGTACTATGACATTCACTTTCAAACTCAAATGCAAGCTCACGTCTTTTACTTAAAATGTTGGGTCTTGTGAGAGCAATATATTCATTAGCCTGCTCTTAGAATTTCCAAGTGAAAGAGTACATCTTTTACAGAGAAAAGATTAGATCTTTTACTTAAAATTTTGAGTCAAGGGAAAACATACATCTTTTACTGAGAATTTTGAGTCGAGTGAAAAATATATTATATTTATAACTTCGGAGCATTCGCTGCTTGTTGGCCAATGTCCTTGACTGCTGTGACTGGCTGGCCTGCTTTCCTGTACGTCTGCAGCATTGTGAGAGGAAGTTTTATTCTGTATATTGTGTTGTTCACAGTGCAGCACAGCGCAGCAAGGGGGAAATGTACATAATGAACACGTCTAACTTGGCAGTGTGCTATAAAAAAGTACACACTGAGCACCTAACAACAGAGCACCATGTCTATGCCATATTATGATCACTGACTGCACCATTTGATCATAATGAAATATATACTGTCATGAGAATTTTGTGCAATGATGAATAGGTGATAGTTTATTTTGATTTGTATGGATGTCAAGAGCTCATTTGTTCAAAAGTAAGGTGCATTTCTGCAAATCCAAAGTGCATGGTTCAAATTGTGTTTCAAGTACACATGATGTGTGGATAACTCTGGGTATTTAAAAAAATAGATATTTGACTTCTCCATTCTAAAGTCTGTTTGGATCAATCAGTTACTATTTTTAGATTAGGTAGATAAACTTGGAGGTCTCATGAGATTCGTTGCCATGATTGTCAAAAACATCTTGGGAGGTGGAAGATGAGCAGGTTTGGCCTGTGTATGCATTCCACTATCGGAGGATATTTTGTGATTGGTCTAAGAATCAAGAGTTCTTTTGATAACATCTTGAGGATGTTTATGTAGGGCTCATGAAAAAGAAGAAACTAGACACTTGTCAACTTCTCCTGAAATGTTGAAAGGCCATAGGTTTGGGGGGGGGGGGCAGAGAAAGGAACATGTATGAGAAGATCAATAAGTAGTAAATGTATTTAACTCATCATAGATTAGCACCACTTGCGATGCAAAACCCTGTCACTCCATAAACCATAAGTGTGTGTCAAAGATTATTATAGACAAAATTTGAACTGCGCTGTTGTTTTTCTTTTCTTGTTTTTACTTGTATGTTTTCGAGTTTTAATTGTGCGGATGAGTATATTATTATATCCTGTTTGAGATAACAAATTACTGTTGTCTTTGATTTGCTTTGTGAGTTTGTTGTTTTTAATTCCATTTTTAATGTTTATACATGAGTGTTCCTTCTAGATTAGTCGAGTGTGTGTTTGTTTTCAGTGTTTTTTAAATAAAAATGTCTTATGTTAAGAGTTAAAGTAGAGTTTACAAATTTCTTCCTATTCCAATTTTTAATTAGTGTTCACAGAATGAATAGAAGTTCTATTAGAACTTTTTGGGGATAATGTTTTGGTCCTACTGATAGTTATTAAAGTTTCAAATGGCATAGAATGTAAAACTTCTCCATGGAGGGAGCTGTGGGTTTGTTATGATCAATACCTCTTATATGTAGAAAGGTTTATATTTCTAAGGTATCAATTTCAAAATGAGGACAGAATAAAAGAATTTTATTTTTGAAGGAAAGAGTATAGTATGTAACGAAATTATTAACCCGTAAAACAAATAATACTTGAGGAAACAAGCAGATCAGATTTGAAGTCTGCAGTGTGCAGTTGGTTTTAAGGTGCTTATTGCGCTCTCAGTTATCTTTGCGGTAATAGTATGAGTTGGTATACAGCTTCATTATTAACTGCTTCCAAAGCCAGCAAGCTGTTGACAAAATTTACTTTTTCTGCGGGCCAAAGTATCAGTAGTATTCAGCTTTGTCTTTAACACAGAGACAGTGAACAGGAGCAAGTTTTGGAAGGAAAGAAATGCTACTCCTTCATGTTTTTAATTTCTTCGAGTCAATAGAATGCTTACAAAATATTATTCAAGAGAAATTCAGTTATTTTGGACAAAGTAATCTGAGGTGCCAATTGTCTGGATAAATCCAGAAATTCTCATTTCTAGAATTATTCAGATATTGCACCATATAATAGTCTTGATGCAAGATGTATGAGACAATGTGATCCTTAAATTTTGATTCCTCAAGCACACATTTTAATGGAGTCCTAAAAGTTGAGGACTTTTTTTTCATAGCCAGTTGACACCCTTGAAGTGATGAACTGAGTTCGTAGATAAAATCTTTTAAGATTGTTGTCAAATGTCATCTGTAATGTGCTTGCAATGCCTTCAGCATACAATTCCATAATGCCTGTAGCCTAAGGGGTAGGCTGTATCTTACCGCTATTGAGCAGTATGCATAAGCTAGTGAACCTAATAATAATAATAATAATAGATAGCATTTGTATAGCGCATATCCCCGCTCAACAGCAGGCTCTATGCGCTTTACACTATATTATTACCCCAGCAGACCATAGTACACTTCGAAACATTCTCAGCTTCCCGGGAAGCATACAGTGCGAGCAGCCGATTAAGCGCTCAAACACTAACAAACTGACAAGATCTTTCGCTGTCTATAGCCTGGTACCCATTCTCACCTGGGTTAAGTGAGGAAAATTCGTGTAAAGTACCTTTCCCAAGGACACAACGTCGGGCTCTTGACGGGATTCGAACCCACGACCTTACGGTTGCGAGTCCGAGAGCCTAACCACTAGGCTACCGACGCCACATGAATGAAAGCCTCAAACTTCGCCTAGAATAGCAATGGGTATATTTTCTAGTTATGTTATTAAAGGGAAGAGTTCAGTAGATTCTCATTTTATTCCAAGTGCTTCTTACCATTGTAACCAAAAGATAAAATTGTCATTCAGCATTATTATCTTATCTTTCTCATAATGGCTCAGGGTTGTTTGTTTAATTAACAAGTTTGTTGTATTTGACTTTTGTTTCAATATATGTCACAATATATTATGTGGCGTTTGGTAAATTACAAAGTCTAGTTTCAATTTCTGATCCATCTCTACTTTGATTAGTTTTTCTCTTCAGTGTATGTTTTTCTCCTCATAAAACTGTTGTCTTGAAAGTGACATTTTTACTTTTGTGTTTCAGTTCTATTTTCTATTATTCTGTTCCTTTGGTTTACATTTTTACTCTTCTTGATATCATCACCATCATTGTAATGACGGCCATTGTTGTCATAAAACTGTCATGATAGGTTTATCTTTGCTTATTTATGGTTCTTCTGAAATTTATTTATATTAATGGTAGTGGTTCAGGTCAACTGCAAGTTTCATGAGGAAATCTCCTCCTTTGTAACACTTTCTCTGTCTGATCAGATGCCCCTTGACAGATCCCATGATTTATGTCGCGTGATAGACAGCAGTACAGTCTTGTCCTTGTACAAGAGACATTGCTTTCTAAAATAATCAAGGATTTAAACAAGAGCATCCATCCAAATAATATAAACTTAGATAGGTCTTCTGATGAATGTGAAGAGGAAGAAGAAGAAGATAGGTCTTCCCATCATTCCCAGAGGGTAGTAGAAACAGTTATATCATCGTCATGTGTTTTTCCCTCCTATTTTCACATGCTCTCTCTCTCTCTTTTTCTCATCCGTTTGTATTTGGGACTTCAGTCTCAGCTGAGCGTTCCCGGGTTGCCCGGCGGCCTTCAGGGCAGCGGCCGCAAAATGTCAGCCATGTCTGTGATGACAGAAGCCAGTAACGAGGACGGGTATGATGACTTCCCGGAGGATGAGGAAGATGGAGCTTTACCCAAAGAGCCATCAGGTACATTATTTCAAGTTGTTGTTTTGAGGAAATTGGAAATTGTTGTGTTAATATTTTCATTTTCAGAAAATTAGAAAAGTTTTGGTCAAGGAAATTAGAAGTCTTTGTGTTTAAGCTTTTCAACAACCTTTTTGCAATGGCTTAAAATGAGCTGCACAAACTAGAGGTGCCGAATTTCTGGATAAATCCGAAAATCCAAATTGTTAACATTGTCCGTTTTTTGCTGGTCTTCAGGCTGACTGTCGAGAAGTTGTTGCCATTCATATAAAAAGTCTTGATACAAAATGTAGTAGACAATATGATTTATAAATTTCCAAGTTCCTGGCTGACATGCATTTTACCATGAGGTCTAAAAAGTTCAGGGTTTTCTTTAGCATCTTCTCCATTACCTTAGAAATAATGAGTTTTACCTGACATTTTTGGCTGTTTTGGGTTAGTGAGACCATGAGGTCGGAAACAACAAATGCTCTTTCTGCTTTATCAATATCGTAATACTACTATTCGAAGTTGTTATCAAAATATTCAAAGAATTTGCATTCGTAAAAACTTGACATGTTGTAAACTTCGAAATTTTTAGCGTCTCAAAACTAGGTGCTGAGCAGATGGAACTTTGGAATTCTTGGGTAGCGTTGGCACCTCTGACAAACAAAAAGTGGAGAATTATTTGGGTTTTTATTTATTTATTTATTTATTTTTTTTTTTCAGTGGGGCAGCCAGAGGAGAAGGGAAAGCTGATAAAGCAAGAGCACAAAGAGACAGGGGCAGTGACGATGTGGGTGTACCTGCGCTATCTGCAGGCCTGCTCCTTCACACTCTGTTTCCTCTCCCTGTTACTTCAGGTGAGTGGGTTTGTGTGTGTGTGTGTGTGTGTATGTGTGTGTGTGTGTGTGTGGTGTGTGTTTGTGTGTGTGTGGTGTGTGTGTTTGTGTGTGTAAGTGTGTGTAAGTGTGTATGTATGTGTGCTTCCTCATGTGTATGATAGTTCTGTAGGAAAAGCAAACATGGAGAGGGATGGAGAGAGAGAGAAAGAGGGAATGAGTGCAATCTGAATTACAGTGCGTCCACTGGTGACTTCATTAGATCATCAGTTTTACCAAGTTGAGCTTGGAGCCCTAGAGAGGAAACTGGTCACATGCGAGATGAAATGCTTAAGAAGAGCGGTCAACAAAACAAGAAGAGACAAAATTAAAAATGAAGTCATAAGGGACACCGTGGGAGCAACACCAGTCCTACCACACATTGAAAAACAAAAGTTCAAGTGGTTCGGACACCTCACGCGGATGCCCTCAAACCATCCAGCTCTGAGAGCATACAACATTAAATATTCTGGATGGAGAGCCAGAAGAAGACCAAGGCGACGATGGAGTGAATCTGTGGCAGACACCCTTAAAGATCATGGGATGTCCCTCCTACAGGCCACACGACTTGCTGCAGACAGACACCTGTGTCTCCCCGTGACACCCCAGGGTACAAGCGGAAGAAAAAAGTTAAAGTTTTTAAGAGCTTTCTTTGTGTTAACAGTTTTCCAAACATGTTGTCCCCTTCTGATATCCTCTTTAATTATGGGGGGGGGGGGGGGGCACCACCGGTTGGGCCTATTTCTTTTTTTTTCTTCCTATTATATCACTCTTTTGTCCCTCCTCTAGAAAAGTTGATAATTTATTGATCTCCACAAAGAGAAATTTGCTGTGGCATGGTTATTACACATACGCACACGCATTCATCAACACACACTCCCACTCAGAAACACACACACACATGCACACACACACACAAACACTCACAATAATAGTCTTTGGATGACATACAAAATAATGAATGCTAGTAAATGACCATTATTGTGTGGATGTGCTTCTCTTTACTAGGAAAAATACTACTCTCAAACTCAAACCTCTTTCATCAGGTGCTGTACCACACACTTATCGTCAGTTCCAATTTTTGGCTCTCGGTGTGGGCGGCTGATGCGGAGGTTCACGTAAGAAACGCCACGCTGTACCAGAGTTTTGGAAATAACACCAATGTCACTCAGCCGGTAAAGAACACATTCATGTCATGCATGGTTTTATATAAATCGTCACCAATGTACGATTTTTCATACTTTTAAAAAAGTGCATTTTAGGTTGTTTATTAGAATATAAATTTTTAACCAGCAAATGAAAAATACCTTGTTGTAGAATATGTTTTGCGGAAAAAAGCTAAATTAAAAATTTTGTAGTTTTTTAAATATTAAGTTGCTTCAATTGAAAACACGCAACATCTTTTGATCTCTTCTTTCCTTCCCCCCTCCCCCCTATCTATTTTTTTAAAAGAGCTTTAAACCTATACAATACCTATCTCTTGATCCCCCCCCCCCACCCCCCCACCCCCCCAGTTTGACAACTCTCCGTACCTGATGACTTTTGTATACCTGTCCATCGGCTCGACCGTGGCCACGCTGCTGGGCTGTCTGGTCATCTACCACACGGGCTACGTGGCCTCCAAGGTCATGTTCACCAACCTGCTGGCCAACGTCATCCACTTGCCCATGAGGTATGCGTGAGATGAGATAAGCTAGATATAACAAATCACTGAGCTTCCCATAAGATGAGATGAGATAAGCTAGATATAACAAATCACTGAGCTTCCTATAGGATGAGATGAGATAAGATAGATAACAAGTAACTGAGCTTCCCATAGGATGAGATGAGAAGAGATAGTAATTGAATGAGCACCACAAAAAAACTTGCCCATGAGGTATTTAGAAGTGTCGATCAGGTAGCAATTTATTGCACCCCACATAGAGACTTAACCATGAGGTATACATAAGATGCAATAAAATAAGTCAAGATAACAAGTCATTAAGCTTCACAAGGAGTATCCCATAAGGTAGGCATAAAATGTGCTAGATGAGATAAGGTAACAATTCGTTGAGTTTCTCTAAGTGACTTGCCCATGAGTTATACATAAGGTGAGAAAAGATAAGAAAACAATTTTTTAAGCTTCTCAAAGACACTTGTTATGGAGTATGCATAAGATGAGACTAGATAACCATTCACTGATCTCCACAAAGACTCTGCCCATGAAGTTTGTAGAAGGTGAGATGAGATAAGATAACAATTCATTGAGCTTCTCACAGACTTGCCCATGAGGTAAGCATAAGATGAGATGAGATAAGATAACAATTCATTGACTTTCTCTCATACTTGCCCATGAGGTATGAACAGTGTCAAGGCAAAATATGACATTTTCAGTATTGTTGTTTTGATATATTAAGCACTGATTACCATACCTCAATGGCTGGATGCCACAAATGCCATTTTTGCACTTAGGCTTTTGTTACAGTCTTTAACCCAGCCAAGAAACTATGGTAATCATTGTCTTTTAGATAAGGAAAAAGCTGAATATTTCAAAATTTCAATCTTCCATATGTCATATTTTCCCCTGAAACTGTAATACAAAAATATTTGATTGGTAAGCAGATCATTTTGTTTTCCTTATTTTCAATCTTTCTATTTCTCCTCTCATGTCATGCATGTAGTTTTTATCTGATCCCATAGACTGCTGTTGGGCCACAATGCTACAAACATACAATGTGATGTTCAGGGTTGTTGTTTTTTTCTGAATCTACAGGTTTTTTGACACAAACCCAAGTGGAAGGATTTTGAACAGGTTTTCATCTGACATTACAGCCATTGATCAAGTGAGTTAGTGAAGATGGCCAACTTCAGTTTCCTTTTTACTTTTTCACTGCCGGTCGAGAGATGAATATATATATCCCCCCCCCCCCCCCCCCCCAACCACCAGAGCAGTGCTACTGACTCTTAGTTGTCTTTAGGCCATTCCCAATAGGGGGATATTAATAGGTTTTATGCTCAGTAGAATTGTAAATGGGCGGATTAATCAATGTCATGCTCATACTGTGCCGGAACAACGTCGAGGGAACTGCTCCTTTTTCTTTCCTCATCCTTACTATCGTCATTTTCATCTACTTTTTAAAGAAATATTTGTCACTCTCTCGTGAACTGCTATTTCCGGGGTGCCTTGATAGTCGAAGCAGACTTTGTGCTGTTGAGGCTAGAGAGGTGAGCTAAGTAAGCCTGATTCCCCGTCTGGACTTCTCTGTTGACATCCACCTCTTAGCGCTCTTATGACCTTACTAAAAGAAAAGAGAGAGAGATGACTATGGATTTTGTGACTGTTTTGCTTTTTTTTTGGGGGGGGGGGGTGTGGTCTTATCAGACTGGTTTCTGTGCTTTATTTAGCATGTGATGCTCACTTTTTTTTTTATTGCTAACAATTCAGTAATCTTTAAAGAGTCCTATTACATCTGCTTAAGTCAATAGGTGTTGTGGTGTATGCTGCTTCTTGTATAAATTTTCCCTCTTAGTATTACCAGAACCTGTGGTGTAGCGGCTAAGCACTTTGCCATTGCATATACAAATAAAATTTGAGTTTGATTTCCTTTGGGAATCTCTCTGTACCTCTGTCTGTTGAGATGTTGTATCCCTCCCAGTTCGAGTTGGCCCTGACAGTCAGGCAGGAGGCAGCCTGTTTCCTTAATGATGTAGGCCTACATAGTGTCAATGTGGTCGTAATATCGTAACCTCAGTGCTTTTTTGTCCTATCTCCATTTTTTTTAACATTGAAAATGTGACTTCTTCTGAAGCTCACTTTTTGTTATGAACTGTTTACACCGTTATTAAAAATGGAGATAGGACATGAAAGCACTGAGGTCGCAATATGTTCACATTTACTCTTTTTACTTTTTGTGTTTCCTTAAAGTGTTCCTGGATCGATAACAACCTTAAAGTGTTCCTGTGGCTATGTTTCCTTAGTTACCATGGAAGTTACACAATGCTATTGACATTCATATCTCTCTAGGTTCATAATGTTATTATTGTCATCAATTCTGCTGTGGTAGTATGAATGTCTCATTTTTTGTTGGCATTAATCTGAAGAGCGAATGTATGCAGGTTCATGTAAATGTATTTTTGTTGATATAAAGTTACTATAAAATACGCAATGAAATGACACGCTTTATAGTTATCATTATTTGTTTGTTGTTTTTTTTGCCTTCAGAGACTGGGTGGACACGTGGAGAACTTGCTGCGCTGTGTGTTCTTTACTCTGTCGGCTGTGGTGGTCAACACTGTGACCACGCCCTACTTTATCTTTGCTGCTGTTCCTTTCTTCATCCTCTATTACTGTTTGCAGAGATTCTTTCGAGCCAGCGCTAGGTAGGTTTTTGACTCTTCAAGCAATAGTAATAGTTATTCTGTCAGTGTCTGATGATGACCAATGCACGTGCAGAGGAGAATAATATTTCCTAAGTGAAATAGAAGAAATAAGACATAAGATGACTACTGGCTTTGTGTATAGGTGGAGGGGGGCGGTTAAAAGAGTTCAGATGTGCTGCTCTTGTTGACTGGAGTCAAAGACCTTGGTAAAAGAAGGACAAAGAAGAAAATGTTCTTAGCTGCTACATCTTGGGTTTAAAAGCAAGGACAGTTTGTTTTACCTCCATATTCAGAAAGACTGTGCCTGTGGAGTTCCTTAGAATAGGCCGTTCTAGACGGTATACAAAACGCTAGTTTTTTTTAATGTAGACCCGCAATCTTTACCCATTTTGGGGGGTTTTGAAAAGTTGGCAGCAATGACCCTGTAAAGCAGGGCAATTGAAGTGACAATATGTCCGGTCACTCAGAGTGTCTGTTTAAGGGAAGTGAAAGAAATGTCCTTCGGTCTTGTTACACTTCTGCCACTTTGCATTTTCATCTGATTTTTATTTTCCTTCACTATTGTCTGAAATATGATGTACACCTAATCTTTTGTTTGTTCTACAGAGAGCTTCAGCGTCTGGACAGCGTGACGAAGTCTCCAATCTTCTCCCATTTCTCTGAGACGGTCAATGGTTTGTCTATCATCAGAGCTTTTGGGTGAGTCTGCTTCACACAGTCTGCTGTCATGGTTAGTCAGGTTAGGAACTTCTTCAAGTGCTAGATCTTTGACAGATGTCAGCAGTTGTAGATGTTCACTTATTTCACTCACTAGGAGCTAGCAGAGTTGTCAGTGTTTAGACAAACATTATGTGCGAACGTGTTTTTCTCCTTTTTCTGTTGTTGTTTGTTTTGGGACTGTTTGCACTCAAGAGTTTGGAGACAAAGTGGGGAGAGAGAGAGATGAAAGATATAGAGAAAGGATCACAATTGGAACGGTATGGTGCTCATGTACACATATACTTTGTATCATTATAAAGCGCATTGAGCACTTTCTGAGTGGACATGTTCTGAATTTGTGAAATTTATGATTTACTATTATTATGACATACAAAAAGAAGTAACATTTTGTGGAAGCCTGAGCAAGGTTGTGATGACAGATCTCTACCCTGGGAGAGGACATGAACAGGGTGTGGAAGACTATAGACAGGAATGATAGTTTCATTCAAGGAACAATGGAATTTACTGATTTCTGCAGTTATCTTTTTAAAATGTATTTGAATGCACTTCGAAATGTTTTATTAAAATATTTACACATTTGTGAGACATCACGGTGAAATCAGGCGCTCGTCAAAATAATTAAATTGAAGAAAATAGCATTTTTTGCCATTCGGCAATTTTTATCGATTTTTTTTTTTTGACTCAACACATTTAAGGTCCTTTTAAAAACACATTTCTGTGCGGATTATGCTGAAAAACGTTGATTTAAGGCACAAAAATGTAAATGTACAGTTTCTATGGACTCTCAAACTTTGGAAGTCGCCAAACTTTGGCGGCCATTTTTTCTCTAATTTTTACCTCTGAAACCAGGCAACCCTGACCTTCTAAGCCTTCTTCAATCGCAAATATTTCGACTTCTATTCAACATAGATGGATATTTTTTCCACCAAAAGAAAGACAAGTGAACAAGCTTTAAGGTGATACCAATAACCCCATGTACCCCAAAATTGACAAGTGCCTGATTTCACTGCAATGCCTCTCATTTACATTAGTTTTGTTTTTTTGTTTCTTTTTCCTTTTTCACCTTTTCTTTCCTTATTTTTCACAGGGTGCAGCCAGAGTTCAAAAGACGCGCATTTAAAGCCATCGACACAAATATCATCCCATTTTTGTTTATCCATACAGCGAATCGTTGGCTAGGTGTCAGACTCGTAAGTGAACTTTTCTTGACCAGTGTAATCTAGAACAGTGCTTGTCAGCCTTTTTTTAACCAGCGCCCACTTTTACCACCTTTAAGAGGCAAATATTTTTGTACCGCCCGCCTGCATAAATTTTAATGCATAAACAAATTGCATTTCCAATCAGGTCATTAAATGATACTTGTCACTACCTGGGTGGTACCCACCATGCACCAAAATTACCAAAGCACTTGCTAGTGGATGATATAACCCAGTTTGGCAAGTGCTGATTTAGAGTGATATAGGTAGAACTGGAATAAAAAGACAATTGTAGAAGAAAGACATTATCCCCGAAAGTCAATTTTGAACAGATATTTATTCTGTTTTTTCTTGGACTTTCTTTGTTGTGTCTTCAGAGTGGTTACATCACTTTTGTATTGTATTTGTTTGTCTTGAATGTGTGCCCAACTGTTTAAGTATCATGAACCTTCCTGCAAGTCAAATTTTCATTTTGTGCTGTTGCAAGCGCAGTAAAACCTCTAGTAAAACTAAAACTACTCTAAAATTTTCTTGTCTACTCTAGACAGGTAAGTACACAATCTCTCACACTGTAGGTTGATTTTACCTATCACAATGTCGACTTCTGTTTGTTTTTTCATTGTTGTTGTCAATGCCAACCTTCATTATGATATTGCTAGTTGGATTGATTATTTAATCAAATTATAGCCAGCGTTCGGTAAGAAATTTGTCTTGGTAAATGTACTCCAAGCCTGGTGCTTTGAAGGAGTAGGGGAGAGTTCTGGTTGCAAAAATCCTGTCACAGGTTCACTGCATGCACGGTTGTCGGCATATTTTTGTCACTTTTATAACATAACTGCTTAAGTCAAATTTTGTTGTTTGAGAAAACTTTAAGAAATAGTGCTTACCGAAGTGAACCTTATTACTTGGGCATGAATTAGAATGTCTCAATACTTCGGTTTTTAGTATGCAAAATAAAACCCTGCTGTATCATGTACACACCAGAAGTAACAGCTATTTTTCTTATATCAGTGGCTAGAAACCTGAAAACAATGACTCAAGCATTTGGTGTATAGTGACTGTGACAAACTGTTGCCTACAATTACTTCACTTGTTAGATTAGATCACTTTCACCTTGATAATGAGGAAGAGTAGGTACATGAAGAGGCTTTGGTGGTAGTGGAAAAACGAACAACAAAAAGCTGTCAGGTTGTATTCACACTGCTAGGTGCTGATAACTTTCCTTCACTGATGTAAGTTTTAGGAAGTGCTGTGGTGTGGTTTTCTCTTTTTTTCTTTCTTACAATTGTCTAAATTATCTATATGGCACTGTGGTGGACACGTGGTTGGAAGATGCTTCAGATAGATCTTAATTTCTTTACACTTCATCTGTCTCTTCCGTCTACCAGTATTGCTTTTTCTCAGCACGAAATATGCACCTTTAATGTATTGAAGCGCTTCTCTTTACTCACACTCAAACTGGAGCACCCTAATGATGTAACAGTAGATTACTGCCTTCAAATCTTAATTGAGAAACTTCCCTGTCTCTGTATTTGACAGATGGTTCACTTGTCCTTTGGCTGAATATATCTGATGATTAGATATGACTGGAGTTATGTTTCTGAAAGGAGAATGTTAAAGCACATTTAAAGGGATGAAGAGATTGTTTTAAGAAATAATACTCAAACAGTTTAGTTTGTTGGCACACCACACATTGTGGTACAGAATGAAATGGAGAACAGTTGGTGCTGATTTTACAGCAGGTAAATGTTTCTCTGGACCACAATGTGTTTTTAGCCTGCCTTGGTTTGGGTGTATTTTTCATGTGGTGGGGCTTTTTGCATTGTCTTCTTTACCGGAAATGTTTTTCATTTCCTTTGCATAGAAAAAAAATGAAATGATGGAAAACATTGATTCGTGTGGGTATATGTGGGTTGGGGAGTGGAGGAATGGAGTGGGGGAGGGGAGGGGAGACATGAATTGACAAAATGTTGTAATTTTTTGTTTTTCTTTTCTTTTCTTTTTTTTTTGTTGGTATATTTGTTTGTACTTTGTATTCAAGTTTTGTGCACTTTTTCTCATCTTTGTTTGTTTATGCCTCACTTAAACCTTTGGAAAACAAAAAGATAGAGCTGAAAAACGTTGGTTGTGAATGCTGATGTATAAAATGAAAGTGATAGATTGAAGATTTCAGTTTAGAAGGTGAAGCTAAGTGATTGTAAACTGCTCTTTTAGACTCAAGATTTCTCTATTTGTGCTCCTGCAGGATTTCATGAGCTGCCTGCTTGTGTTCATCTCAGCAGTGGCAAGCTTGAGTTCGGGGCTGCACGGGCTGGCTAACCCAGCCTTTATTGGTCTGTGTATCACATACACTCTGATGGTGAGTTTGGGTCGTGGGTGTGGTTTTGTCCTGGTTTTGAATTTTTTTGGTTGTAAGTTATGCTATGAGGAAGGCATGGCCTGTAAGTTAAGCCCCATTCATGACGTCTTTGTATGTAAGGACAATCACAGCACACTGCTTCTTCTTCTTCCCTTAAGACAAATTTGTTGGGGGGGGGGGGGGAGGCTTAAATTTTATCAAAATCTGTAAGTACATTATAATGAAATGTTTAGGAATGTAGCTTAAGCTTTTGCATTGCAGTCAACCGGTATATAAGATACATAATAAATACATTTTTTAAAGTTCTGAGTACAAAAGTCTGTTTTTGTATTGAAAATATGTATTCTCTGTTTTCTTCTATTGCTCCTCATAGACCTGCCTGTGCTTGTTAAAAAAAGTTATAAACTGTCAGTTCACTATTATCATGAATTGTTTAACACTTTGCGGTCACACAGCCAGCAGTACAAAATACCCCATCTGATCACCCAGCCAGGAGAGTGACTGCAACGGACTTGTGCAGAACTGCACCAGGTGACTGGAATGGATAATTTCACCATCACATTATTGTGCCAAGTGAGCGCAAAGTGTTAAGAATGTAGCATAAGCTTTGGTTTGGTCTGGATTTTTTTAAGACAACAGAGAAAATGTGCGTGTATGTGATTGTGTTCCAGGTGTCCGGGCAGCTCAACTGGATCGTGCGCATCACCACTGAGGTCGAGATGAGCATGAACTCGGTGGAGCGTGTTGTGGAGTACACAGACATGATTCCTGAACCCACCATGTCTGCTCAAGGTAAGTCGCTGCGAGCCTGTGTCTTATCCCCTTTGTCTACATAGCTGCCAACCTCGGAGTAAAAGATGTATTTAATAGGTTTTGACTGTTCCTTTTTTGTTCTTTTTTTTATTCGTTTTCTTTTTGGGGGGATTCCGTGTCTTTATTTTTCTGGGCGCAAGAGGTTAGTTACATTTCAACTTAATATATGTCAGAATTGTTATGATGATGAAGATGATGATGATTTTTTTAAAAACTCATTTCTTTGTGTCCCATTGACAGGTCCAGTACCAGTGCCAGACAAGTGGCCGAGTGTGGGCAAGATTGAGTTCCAGAACGTGACTCTGAGCTACGACATAGACCTGGAGCCGGTGCTCCTGAATGCTAGCTTCATCATACAAGGAGGGGAGAAGGTGGGTCCGGGCCAAGGTTTTTATATTTTCATCAGCAGTTTAACTCTTATTTCCAAATTGAGGAAAGTCAGCGTCAAAGAATGCTTTTCCTGCTTTTGGCCTGTTGAATGTGTGGGTGTGTGTGTGTGATTTTTTTTTTAGCCTTGTATTTCCTGGGTTGGAGAAAGTAAATTTATCTTTTTATTTGGGAGTAGGATTAAGTGGCTTTTTTTTCTTTTTATAGTCTATGTTTTTTTAGTTTTAATAATGCTTATTTTATTTGATAGTTTTCTTGATCAGAGTGCTGATTGAGTTTCGCTGCTTTATTTATGAAAAGGCTGCTGAAAGAGTGTTCTAGTTTAGCCTGAAATTTGCAAAGAATGATGAAATATATTGTAAATATGCTCTTCTAACAAGGAAGTCTTTTTGCATCAGCTTTTTTCTCTTGGCCTAACCTTTTCTGGCCATTTTTTTGCCTTAACTGCTCTATTTTGGCTATGCCTGAAAAACTTCACGTCAGATTCCCTGGTTCCGTCTCAGATTGGAGTGTGCGGTCGCACAGGGAGCGGCAAATCTTCCACCACCCTGGCCCTGTTCCGCATGCTGGACTTGAATGATGGCCTCATTCTGCTGGACGGAGTGGACATCATGCGAGTGCCACTGCACACCCTGCGGGCGCGGCTAGCCATCATACCACAGGACCCCGTGCTCTTCACAGGGACGCTCAGGTCAGGACCCCCACCCCACAGAGGTGGCTACCTTAAAATCACAAAGCTCTATCTAACATTCTTGACCGTTTTGTGTTATTAAGACCATTGGGTCAGAAACCAAATGTTCTGTCTGCTTTATCATAATCGTAAGATGTTTCAGAATAGTTATCAAGATATTCAAAGAATTGCATTCGAAAAAGCTTGACATGTTGTGAAACTCTCCTTTTTTTACAATAAATTTCTCAGAGAGATACTGAGCTGATAGAACTTTGTAATTCTAGGGTAGTGAGGTGCCAATTGTCAGATGAATCGGGAAATCTGGATTTCTGAAATTATCTGGATTTTGTAATCATGTACTTTTGCCTGTTTATTGATTATTATGTAAAAATAGTCTTGACATAAAATGCATTGTGATTCCTCTAGTGCATATTTCCAAGAAGTTGTGAAAGTTCAGGATATTGTTCATGGCCAGTTGACACCTCTGTTCTCAGCATTGTGTTCATGGCCTTCTCTTGGCATGGCCTTCTCTTGGCATGGCACTCAAACTGTTATGCCGGTATATTGATGGGGAAATCATAATTATATTATGATAATAGTTTGTCTGTGCCTGACGATAACCAATGCATCTGCACAGGAGAATATTTTTGTTAAAGAAAAGTAGAAGAAATAAGGATTAGCATGATTTTTGTTAAAGAAAAGTAGAAGAAATAAGGATTAACATGATTTGTGGCTTCTGCTGTGGCCTTGAAGATCAATGCTGCCAGAGAAGAGTGCTACATTTTGAGCGGAGAAGGTCAAACTTTGTAAGACGGTCGCCCAATGTCAAGGAGAAAAGTGGCCATATAATACAGGTGAAGAAAGCAAGTTATTCTTTTCTGAAGTTCAAACCGCGGCTGATTTGTTCAAAAGGGTTTTTGTTTTCTTTTGAAAAAGGGGAGGGGGGGGAGGTGTAAGAAGGGTTGTTTTTTTGTGTTGTTGTTTTGTTTGTTTGATTTTTGGTTTGCTTTTTTTTTGTGCTGATTTTTGTGCAAGGATGAAATAAATGAAATATTATGTAAGTAAAACTATGAAGACTGAGTGCCATGGTAAAACAAACTCACAGGTCACCATCACTCGAAGAACAGGGAAGCTTCTATCGCAAGTTCAAGTTAATGTCCTTTGGTACTTTGTTACAGATTAGATAAACAAAACTGTGACTAGGCACCTCACATACTAATTATGCGTATGAGTTGTGGGCAGGACTTATAGGTTATGATGTATAAAGCGCTTCCCTCACCAGAAGGTGAAAATTTATAGTTACACATCAGTCAATTTGGGTAAACATTCATTGGAGGGACCAACAATAATGACAGGTGAATAGATTATGACAAAGTGTCGAGTGATGCGAGACCACGCTTGGCCGTCGTAGGCAAGTAAAATTGAATGTGGGTTGATAAATAAGGTGGCAGCCGCTGCGTTGGACAGGTAACCATTTTACACAGGTAAATTATATAGAAAAAAACGTAAGGGGGGGAAATGGAAAGTGGCCGTTTGTACAGGTGGCCGTATTACACAGGAGGCTGTCATGGCAGGTTCGACTGTAATATCATAATGACATAAGATCACTGATTGACACTACTGAGGTATGGGATATCAAGAGTGTTTTGTGGATGGACATGGAGAGGGGGGGGGGGGGAGTTGTTGGTATTTTTAAAAGAGTGACAAGCATCGTCTTTTTGTATTTAAAATATGTGCCCATAGTGTTAATTAGCATGGAGAAACTAGTATTTTAATAGTCTTCCTCATTTTCAGCGCAAAGAACCATTTTCTTTCCTAAGTTATCTAAAAACACTAACAATTTTCCTTTTTTTTCTCACAGGTTTAACCTTGACCCCAACTCCCAGGAGCCGGACGACAAATTGTGGTCAGCATTAGAGTCGGTGGAGATGAAGGACACCGTCACGTCGTTACCAGATCAGCTGGGTACGTTTGTCACTTGCCAACTCACACGTTGGTGGCCTAATTGTTAGGCTCTCGGACTCGCAACCATAAGGTCATGGGTTCGAATCCCATCAGGGGCCCGATGTTGTGTCCTTGGGAAAGGCACTTTGCACAAATTTTCCTCTTTTCACCCAGGTGGAAATGGATACCCGGCTATAGACAGCGAACGATCTTGTCAGTTTGATAGTGTTTGAGCGCGTGAAATTCGCAGCTTGCACTTTATGCTTTCGCGGAAGCCGAGAATGTTTCCGAGTGTTCTCAGAGGGTCTGCTGGGGTAATGATAGTTGTAAAGCGCATAAAGCATGCTCTTGAGCATGGATATGCGCTATATAAATGCAGTTATTATTATTATTACTACACAGGGTGGAATTCTCAAAAATCTGCATTACGAAAACAAATGTGTCACAGTACTGTGGAATCTGGCGCTCTTCAATTTTTGGTCTAATGGAGTCACCTTTTTTTTGTGTGTGACAAAAGCATATGGTAGTTCTCACAGCAGGAAAACATTGTTCTTTGGCTAGACCTCGAGCAACTTCGCCTCTTTCAACTCTTGCTGAAGATATTGTATTATATTACATTATAGAGAAGGGCTTTATTTTGATGTGCTTATCGCTACTTGTTTTAAAACGAAGTCTGGCAATTGTCATTCTTGCCAATACTATTATCGCAAAATATCTGTTTAGTGTCACAAGTGCAGTTCTCATTTATTGTTATAAAGTGCATAGGGCATGCTGTAGAGCCTGGATATGCGCCACATAAATGCTATTATTATTGTTATTATTATTATTATTATTATTACCTTAGATGTCTTAACACTTTCCCTACCACGAGCCGCATTTTGCGGCTCACAGACCTGGCCTCGCTGGACCGAGAGCCGCAAAATACGGCTCGAGTTGCCTGCTATCTATTCCAATCCAATAATGAAAAGACGAGAAATTTTTGGCCAACCCACGTTTTCAAAATAATGGAATAGACTTCCTGTTACCTGATGCGAAAGAAAATATAGCACTGAGAGACGACTTTTTGTCGTTTCAGCGCTTTTTTTTGGTCCCCTTCAAAACATAATTATGAGAAGAAAAGCGCTCCCCTGACTTCAGTATATGTCTCATATTTTCACTTCTACATTAGGTACACATACATAACTTTCAGCATTTCTTAGCATTACTTGAGGCAACCTACTTGGGATGTTTGAATGATGCTGTTGTTTTTCTTTTTTAGATATGACCTTTCAAAGCTGGAAAATTGTTGATTTCATATAACACCTTTGATATTGCATTATCACTTTTAGAAACCCCGAAGTAATATAATTGGAATAAATCTTCAATATTGTATCGCCATCTGATAGATTATTTTTTAACCTTCAGTTTAATGGACCATATGATATGGTTTGTGTGTGTTTAGTTGGATGTTTTGACTTTTTCCTTTGGCGGGGTATGGGCATAAAAATAGGTCAGGGAAAAGCCCTGGGCCAGTGGTGGATTTTGGCCGGGTAGGAAAAGAGTTAAAAGATATTGTGGCAAAGAGGTTGGGGGGAGGGGTGTTGTAGAGCGCTTAATAGAGCATGCTGTAGATACTGGATACGAGCCATATAAATACAATTATTGTTATTATTATTATTGTTATTATTATTATTATTATTATTATTATTATTATTACTATCTTGGATGTCTGAAAAGATATTGTGGCAAAGGGGTTTTTTTATTTGTATTTTTCAAAGAAGGTGACTTGTGTTTTGCTCCTCAGACTCAGCTGTCGCGGAGGGTGGGGAGAATTTCAGTGTGGGCCAGAGACAGGTGAGATGAGATCAACAGTGTTGACATAAAAACTTCTCCTTTTTAAGTATTTTAATGTTGCTTTATATGAAAACATGGGTGGCTGGCGGGTGCTCTGGTGTGGTTTGGTCCTTCTTTCCTATTAAACACCTGTGCTCTTGTGTAATTAGCTCCTTTCCTATCAAACATCCTATTATCCTTATCCCTCCTCGTTTTATTTGTAAGTTACTCTCTGGTAGTAATGCCTCTAATCTTTGGCACTCATATGATCTAATTGTATTGCAAGTGTCAAAAAATTCTTGCTAAATACTAAACTAATATGAAAACTTCTCTTTTAAAGTAATCTAATGCTGGTTTAATATGAAATATCCCCTTTTTAGTGCTGTTTTATCGTGAAAAATGTCTTTTTATGCATTTCGATGCTGATTTGACCTTAACACTTTTCCTTTTGGTTTAAAAAAAAATTTAATGATGATTTAATGTTATTATCTCGTTTTTATGCTTTTCAATACAGGTTTAACTCTTTAACCATGCAATTTAAAATTACGTGTCCGTGTAATTCATTTGTGTTTGTGGAAATGCGACCCTGACATATTACTTTTTAAAAAACGCTTTTTTCGTGTCAAACTGATCAATAAAGCATTACCCAGACGTAGATTTTATTTATCTTTGACTTCCGGGTCAAACTGAAGGCTTGTTAGCTCGTACTTTTTTATATTCGGCCTGTACCATAATACAATAATACCTTTGCATCGGACGGTTGGTACCATCCAGCCATGGTTACGAATCTTTGCTCCGGACCCTGCCACCGTCTAGACATGGTTTGAGTTAAAGTATACATTTTTCTTCTTCTTTTTTTCTTTCTATTTTAATGCTGGTTTTACATAAAACTTTTTAATGAGTATTTTAATGCTGTTTCAACATGAACTCTTTTCTTTTAACATGAAAAGTCTTTTTAATGTTTTCTAATGAAGCTTTAACCTGAAAACTTCTCTTTTTCATGTACAATGTTTGTTAATGTGCTTTACAATATAAACCTCTCTTTTTAAATTACTTAAATGATGCTAACTTTAGCTGATTTAAGGTGACCACTGTCCATCTGTGTGTCCCTCAGCTGCTGTGCATGGCCCGAGCTTTCCTCCGAGACTCGCAGGTCATCGTGATGGACGAAGCCACGGCCTCCATAGACATGGAGACTGACAGCAAGATCCAGAGCATCATCCATAGCCCTGTCCTGCAGAACCGGACCATCATCACCATCGCTGTCAGTTGAATACTTCAACGTTTGCAGTTTTATTTTGTTTTGTTTTGTCTATTTGTGAAGGGTGCTGACAAAATGAGTTACTTCTCGGATTCAAGCCTGAAGAAAATAGATACATCACGCTTATAGGTGAAGTTTTTACAATTTTTAAGTATGAAATTATAAAAGACAGGTTATAGTTAAAGAATATGGCATCGGTAGAAAATCTACAAATTTGACCTTAATGTCGATTTGTGGCCAATATCTCCATTTGTGGATTGGGAGAAGTTACTCATTTTGTCAGCATGCCTGACATTTGCTTTTTTGTCTTTGACCATCTCTCTCCCTCTCTCTCTCTCTCTCTCTCTCCCTCTCTCTCCCTCTCTCTCTCTCCCTCCCTCTCTTTCACTCTCTCTCTCTCCCTCCTTCTCTCTCTCTCCCTCCC